GTCAGAAGATGTTTTGGTCAGCAAAATAACAGGAATTGCTAGATTAGACCAATTAATGGAGGAATTAATGCTTGAAGGTTGGGGAGGTTCTAAATATTTTTTAGTTTATTTCTTTTATTTTAAATTAATTTATTTTTGAAGATCTTGATCTAAAAGAAATGTCAATGGGAAATGACTCAAATCAAGGTGATGAAGCTAGTACCTCAACATCCCAACAACAACAAGGGGGAGATCATTCTATTCCAATTCAAGGACATGTTGATTCTTCTTCTAATACTACAAGTGATTAGAGAATCAAAATAAATTTTTAAAATTATTTTTTGTCAGTTTCTGTACCAATTAGCAACCACCCACAATCAATGAGTAGCCAATGGAGTGGAACAACAGGTCCTGTCCAGCCTAATTCCCCAATTTCCAAACAACGTGGACGAAATGTTTCCTCAGCTTCCGATTCTTCCCAAGCAACTTCCTCTTCCGGTTCTCCATCTCAAACATTTTTACAGCCAGTTCCAAGTACTCCTTCACCTTATTCCAGTGGAATAATAACAGCAACTGGAGGGGGAGGAACTGTTCCTATTTCTCCTGTTAGTGAATCTGAATTTTCTTCTTCTGCTCTTTCTAGTTATGTTTTTGGAAATTCTCTTTACGGGTAAATTTTATAATTTAAGAAAAATTTTTGTACTCTTTAAATCAGGCTTGCTCATGGATACAGATTTTGCTATCCGTATCCGGATATATCCGCGCGTATCGATATTATTCGTATCCATGAGCAAGCCTGATTTAAATACATAAGCATCCTGACTAAGATAAATCCAGATAATTTTTTAATAATTTTTGATAATTTTTTATGAATGGTAGATATTAAAATAAGGTTTGATGTGTCCTCCTTATCTTTACGAAACCTCGCCACAAATAATAGTTTTTCCTATCTTTTTTCTCTTAAATCAAACCAAGTATTCTAATAATTATAGTAATATCCAACCTCCATTTGCCTGGCATTCCCCATCTAATACAGGCATTCAACCCACCAATGATGTTTGTTTTTCATCCAATTCAACAACCTCAACAAAATTACTTTCTCAACAACAACAAACCTCTCCAAACAATATTTTAACTTCAATTAATCCTCCCCCAATTTATAACAATTCTACAAATTCACAACAATATTATAATAATTCTAATAATTTACAAGAATCTTCACAACATTATTTTAGAAATCAAAATAATAATCAACAAGAAGAAAGAAGGGGAGAAATAAATTCAATAAATCAACCAAATAATTGTGCTTGGGGTGTTGCGAATAAACAAATGCAACATCATTTTGTACCTACACCGTCTACACCTGTACCAGCAATTTATAGTGGAACAAGTCCGTCACCTCCACAACGATTTGGAGTTGGTGGTGTTGGAGGGGGAGGAGGAAGATAATATAAATAAATATATTTTTTGTTTTTATTTTTTAAAGTTTAAAAAAATTAAAAAATATTTCTTGCATTATAAAATTAAAATTTTTGTTAATTATATATTTATTTTAATGTCCATATTTTAGATTGAGAAAAATAATTTTGAAAGATTTTAAAAAAATTTAGGAAAAAATAATCTTTCGAAAGTTAGCTTTTTCTCATTTTGAAAATATTAGTACATTTATTACTCCAAAGAAAATATGTAGATAATAGTGTTATTCACGGTGCGGTGTTACCGCGGTATTTTTTGATATTACTACCGGTATCTTACTGGTCGATCTTGTAAAAAATTTTCGGTTTCGGTATTTACCGAAAATACCAGTACCGGAAAAACGCATTTGAATAACACTAGTAGATAATAATTAATTTTAGTTTATTGACAAAATATTTAAAATATCTCATAACGAGATATCCTCTTGAGGTTGAAAAATTGTTTTATAATTAGGTTTATCTTAATAGGGGTAATATGTAAATCAATTATTTTTGAATTGTTTAACTTTCGGCTCATTAAAAAATATGAAAATTAAATATGGACATCAAGACTATTTATATGTAATTAAAAATTTTTTACCTATATTTTGCATATTATTAATTTGTAATTAATTAAACAATTATTTTTGTTTAATTAAAAAATTATTATAAAATGTACATTATTTTTTCAGAATTATTTTGCTCAAACTATTTAACCATGAATCATTTCTTTCCAATTATTTTTATTTAGTTGATAGAAAATTTAATTAAAATTACATATAAATTTAATTTCTCATTATTTACTCTCTACGTAAATTTATCAGGGTCACATTAATGCTTAGCCTTGTATATATTAATCCATTTATCATTTAAATGTGTACCTCTCCAATTCAAATTTTCTGAGATATTTGTTTTTAAATAAAATTATATATTTTTTACAAAATAATTTTAAAATTATATTAAAAAGCATTTTTCACAGAAGAGAATTCATGCTCAATTAAATGGTAAGTTTTCCGATCCTAAACCCGATCCGAAGTGATCAACTCAAAGGCAGAAAAAACCAATTTTACGGCTGTAACATTTTGTAGAATGATCAGATTAGTCTACTTATCATAGGGAATGTTGTTTCAACAACTGGAAAAAAGTTGTTCTAACGAATATTTTAGGCTAACTGTAGAACACCATATGTTTTCGCAAGATGGTATTAAAATCCTATCCTTTTATCTGCTTTCTTTTATTAATTAGGGATCAGAGTTGCGTCGTAATTACGAATTACGATTACGAATTACGTCTGTTAGGGATGCCAAATCCAGCTATGTAATTCTGGCCTGAGCTCGAATTTTATTTCCGGCTACTCACAAAAAACTGCAGGATCTGATTAGGCTTTAGTTTCAGAATCCAGGGGTGTGCGTGTATATAACAGGACCGACATATCGGGATTACTGTGAGAAAAATAAACTTGCGTTTTGATCCGTGCGCCAAACCGAGCTACGGTGTGCGCCACAATTGTCGCGCCAAACCGGTTCTTTACTGACCCGCGCCAAATCGTCCCGGACACGGTAAGGGACCATTGAGTCCCTCCGATTGAGTCCCGGATAGTGAACGACATATCGACTTTTTCTTAAGGAAAAAAAGTCGTTTTAAAAAAATCTACAATTATTCGCGAACGACTTTTTTTTAAACACACAACGCCAGAACTACGTAAATATCGATGTTTTGCGCCAAACGATTGCGAAACGACTTTTTTGTGTCTCTTTTTCTCTGCTCTGTCATTATATTTCCTTTCTCTTTTTCTATTAATTTTCGTTCGTGTAGTCTCTCCTTTGGAATTTGCAATTTTCCATTTTTATAAATGTTCAGTCCCTTTTCTGTAATTTTTAGGGATTTTTCCACATATATTCTTACTAGATGGAGAGGAGAAGTAAGAGGAGATGATTTGTCAGAGCAGCTTTAGCCAAAAGTGGATTGAAAGCCTTTAACAGGAAAATGAGTGAAATTTTCATTGAAAATCCGGAAAGTCTTTCCATCATCAGATGTGCTGCTTACCTTGATCCTGCCGTTTGTTTCCCCACCTCCCCTAAAACACATCTCAAATTAAAAATCAAGACAAACTTTTTTGTGAAATTAATTTATGTATCCGTGATTCAAAAACAAAGTAAATAATTATAAGGACGACAAAACAAAATAAATTTAAAGAAAAACAAAGTCAACGAGGAGATCAATCCATCAAAACCTTTTACATTAAAAACCATTCGGTAAATACGTGAAGCGTGTTGTTGTGGATCTTCAAGAGAGAAGCCAGAAGTCAACAAAGCTGTCTCATAGAGCAAAACAACCAAATCTTTGGCAGTTTTGTCATCTTGGTCGGAGTCGATCGATTTGAAACAGACACTTTCTGAACTTTTTTGTCCAAAATATCCTAACACTAAGAATAAAACAAATATTCCAAAATTCTTTAAACAAAATCTTAAATACCTTAATAACTTTGCAAAGTTTCTCAAATTTAACTTTATCTTCTTCAAACTTCTTCTTTTCCTCTTCACTTTCTGGCAACTCCAAACCTTCTTTAGTCACGCTAACCAACTTCTTTCCATCAAATTCTTTCAATTGTTGAATGCAATATTCATCAATTGGATCAACCATATAAATAACTTCAAAACCTCGCTTCTTAACACGTTCAACAAAAGCTGAGTTTTGAACAACTTCTTTAGACTCGCCAGTAATATAATAAATGCAAGTCTGATTCTCCTTCATTCGTCCAACATAATCCTTCAAGCTAACAAGTTCATCGCCAGAAGAGGAAGCGTTGTAACGGAGATATTCGGCAAGCTTTTTACGGTTGACAGAATCTTCGTGAATACCCAACTAAAGAACAAATAATTTTCAAAAAAACATTTAAAAAAACCTTAAGATTCTTGCTGAATTGTTCATAAAATTTCTTAAAGTTGTCCTTGTCTTCAGCAATTTCATCAAAAAGTTCGATACACTTCTTGACCAAATTCTTTCGGATCACTTTAAGAATTTTGGATTGTTGGAGCATTTCACGAGAAATGTTAAGAGGAAAGTCCAATGGAGAGAATTCCAATGGAGAGACAACGACATAGAAAATTAATAGAAAAAGAGAAAGGAAATATAATGACAGAGCAGAGAAAAAGAGACACAAAAAAGTCGATTCGCAATCGTTTGGCGCAAAACATCGATATTAACGTAGTTCTGGCGTTTTGTATTAAAAAATAGTCGTTCGCGAATAAAAGTAGTTATTCGCCGCGAATCGACGAAAACGTAGATATGTCGTTCACTAGTCCCGGATCCATATTTTTGGGTTTTTTAAATTCTTAATCGTTTTAGATAATTTATCAAAAGCTATTGATTTAAGGATTATTCTATCTGCAGGAATGATCTGATCAGATCAACGTACAAAATCTCGATGTAATTTTTTGTCTAGTTGGCGAAAATGATCCTTCTAGGGCTTTTGATTAATTGAAAATAAAAATTAATCCTTACTAGTTGGTGTTCTGCGCAATATTTTTGTGTTCCGTATAATTTACCTAACAAAATTTTTTATTTTTTTAGAATCTAATAATGATTTCACGACATAATTCTGAAGAGTCATTTGATTCTTGTAATTCTAGTCCTTCAATTCCTTCTGTTCACGAACAACGATCTGTTACATCATCAAAAAGTCGTCGGAGTACAGAAGATCAACATGTTTTGGTTGTTAGAAATCTGAAGGGAAAAGGAAGGGTTATACTGCTTCGAGATGTTCGTTGTTTTTGATAATTTAGTTTTAAGAGGGATTAGTAGCCAATTTTGACTCGGCCATATTTCTGTTTCATAAAATTCTCGTTTTATTAAACAGATTTTTAATTTCCTACAATTTTTGATCTAATTTCTTTTTTTAGCTTTTTTATGTTTTTAACCTCAATGCGAGAGCAGATGGTGATAAAGCAGATAATATTGACAATGTTGTTGACATTCATTTTGTTGGTGACTGTGCTCTTATAAAGGTTTATTTTTTTCATTTCTATTACAATTAAGTTTTGAATTCTAGATGTTATCAAAGGATGCTGCTTGCCGGGCCAAGTCAGCGTTAGACGAAAGTTGGCTTTTTGACAAGTTTATTACAGTTGACTGGGCTTCTATTCCACAAATCCATCAAATGCAAACTCTCGGTGCGGGCAAGCCACCGCTTGCTGTGGGATTTCGGCGAAAGGATGATCAAGCAAAAAGACGGCAAAGACAATCGGCAAATGGTCATCCTAATTCATATGGAGGAGGTAATTTTGACAGTTCTGGAGATATTGATGATATTCAGGTAATGATTTTAACGAATATATTAAGACTGGAGACTCATTCGATTTAAAATTTGTAGGCACAAATTGCTTATTATGGGACTAATTTGCCTTCAAAAAGGACTCGTTTCTTGCGTCCTGGGACTGGTTTAAATGAAGTTCAAAATCTTAGGTAATTTAAAAGTATTTTCTAATTTTTTGTTTTCTTTTTAAAGTTATGTCCGTCATCATTCTGACAATAAGAATAAAAAGGAAGACAAAAAAGGAGGGGGAAGTAATTCAACCATCAATCAACAACATTCTCCATTACATAAACGATTTATTAATTCTGCCTGCACAAGAACAGTTACTAGAGAACGTTTGCCTCCCTCGCCTGTTTTGTATGTCGAAGGACTTGAATATTATGGAGATTGGACCAACAATATTTTGGCTCGCACTGACGTATGTCAAGTAAATTTTACTTTTAGTAAAATTTTTTTAATCTGAAAGGAATTAATTTTTAAGTAGTATTTTTTTGTTAATTTGTTTTGAATTTTAATTTTTAAAGTTGGGATTATTTTATCCTTTTAATAATGAAATTAGAATATTATCTGAAAATTTGACAAGAATTTACTATTAGACTGGGTTTAACTTGAGGGCTTTAAATTTGCGAAAATGAGAGGCTGAAGGCTAGAGGCCGAAAAAGAATTGGGGGGAACAGGTGTTTATTAAAAGTCGGCATGGAAGAGTGTAAACCAGAATTCCTTTAAATTCCATTTATTCTTTTGTGGATTAATTTTCATTTTTTTTAAATTTTCTTTTAATTTTTAAAATTAATTTTTTAGTTAATAACAATATTTACTTTCTGTGGAGTAGTTAAAGACATTTATATTGGTTATTGCAGACAAGATAATATTGTTGAAAAATGTTATGGATCTTGTAAGCATATGGCTTTAGTTCAGATGGAAACTGTTGATCAGGCTACTCGGGGTTTTTTTTTAAATTTTTAAAAAATAAATTTTATTTTTTTCAGCAATTAATGAATTTGATCATACTTGGCAAATGGGACGTTTTATCAATGTTAATTAATTAAAAAATTTGGTACTTTTCGGTTACGTGACCGCACTTTAAAAATGTTTCAAAGGGTCATGAATATCGACAAACTATACATATGTCCTTTGAAAGTTGCTTGACGAGCTGAGTCGAACGGCACAAGTTACGATACACAATAAACCTATAGAAGTGACTATTTTGAGAATTTTTATCTCGGTTCAAAACTAAAAGCGAGGGCTGATTTTGGTGTCATTTGATCCAACTCGACGAGCTCTTTTGAATGACATATAGTTCGTTCATATTCATGACCCTTTTTAAACATTTTAAAGAGCGGTCACATAACCGAAAAGTACCAAAAATTTTAAAAATAAAACAACTTTTTTAATTAGGTTACTTATTCTCACCATCAATGTATTGAACATGATCGAAATAATCGTCGTGATCGTTACTCACATAAACGTTTTGTTCACAGTTAATTTAAAAAAAGAAAAGGTGGATTTTATCTTAATTGGCATTAAAAGTTTTTTTGTTTTTATTTTCGCTTTAAACAAATATTTTCTAAAATTTATGTATTAACATTTTTGTTCTCGAAAGAGAAGTTTATTTTGACTTTATTTTTAAGTTTTTTGTTTAAATTAAGGTTGCATAAATATTTTAAATTAAAAAACATTGTTAGACATTCTGAAATGTTTTTAGTAAACAAATAATATTTTAAAGAAAATTTAAAAAAATTTTTATTAAAGATTTTTGTTGGTTTTGCCTGGTTTTGAATTTATATCTTGTTTATTGTATAGGTTTTGCAAACTACATATAAGTTGCCTAAACAATTATATATCTCAGAACAATTATTTTAAAAATCTTAATAAATTCTACTAAATTTCTTTTTCTTGTCAATCCTTTTTATTTCCTATATTTATCCCCTTTATTTGTTCCTCGTTAATCCAATCCATTGATTACTTGGATGTCTTGAATTTCCAGCTGATGTGTTGATTGGTGTAAATACACTATTAGAGCGTAGGCCAGATAAATCGCTTAATCTAGGTCGAAGTTCTGCCTTAAATAAGCAATTTTTAAATTATTTTTAAGGTTCTCTCTCTCTCAAAGAGGAGAGCTTTCGACTTACCCTTTTATGTTTACTTCTAAATTTAATTACTTCACCAGGCCTATGCCAATCACTATCCAAAAGTGTTGGTTCTTCATTGTAATTCCATTGTTCTTTATTCCGTTCTCTTTTATGTTGTCTAGTATGCCAACCAATTCCCAGTATTCTGGCAACTGCCAAAAACATTCCTCCACCTCTTTTATTTTTATTAGAATTTTTTTGATTAGAATTAGTATTAATTTTTGAAGATTCCTTCTCATTAAACATCCTTTTGGATACATCTATGATCTCAGTTTGCTGATCATGCCCCACTGTTTCACAACACATTTCTTGTGCGCAAAGCGATGATTCCTTAAGCTTTAAGAGAGACTGATTTATTTTATTTTTGTTAGATTGTATGGGGGGGGGTGTTTGCAAATTTTTGGTTTAAGTATATGAATTCCCTGTATCCTAAGCTCTCGCTGGGTAAAATCAGAGGTCGTATGGTCGATGCGCTTCGACGAGCTGAATCGAACAATACCTGGGCGTCCCTGATTCGATAATTTTGAACGAAGTTAAGAAAGTTTGCAAAAGTTTAGCCACCGGGCAGGATTCGAACCTGCGACCACCGCTAGTTGTTGCTAGGCGCTTTCGCTCACTATATGCAGGAGCTCTACCTCTGAGCTACCGGAGCATCGACTAATGCTTTCTTTTTCCTTTTTAGATCATTTATCCCCCGCCTAAGCGTTTTAAATGCTGCTAGGTGAATCATCCTTACAGTTATATCTCGGCGGTACATCTGGGTGTACATCTCTCGGCGGTACACCGGGGTATACCCGGGTAAAATTCTCTAGATCACTGGGGATGGGGGAGGTGGCAGGTTTGAGGTTGAGAAATTTCTCTCAAAAATATAATTTTTTACCTGAATCTGTTCAATACTATCATCACTTTCTTTTATTCTTTCTGTTTTAAAATCTCCTAAAGAATTCCAATATTTTCCTTCTCGAATATTATTATTTTCTTCTAATAAAAAAGAATCTTTTAATTTTTCTTCATTCTTAGAAAATTTTCCTCGTAAAGAACCTCCCTTTTTAGCACCTTTTGTTTTATTTTCTTCATTTTTTCTATTTTTAAATTTTTCTTTTTCTTCATTTCCTTTATATTCTCTACTTAAAAATACTTGTAATTCTTCCCCTTCTTCTTTACACAAAAGACTTAAATTCCGTGTCCATTTTCGACGTTGAGCGATAAGAAGCATTTGCCTTTCTCCAACTGACGATGAATTCATCTGTTAACTCAAAATTTGTTTAATATTATTTTTAACTGACAATAAATGATTTTTGTGCCCTTATTAGGCTAATTCAGATATTTAAAGGGATTTAGCTTTTGTGTATGGAAGTTTATACCAAGATTTGTACTCCTACTCCTTAAATTTCTAAACACCGTTAAGGACTTGACTTGAAATTAAAATACCCATATAATTAACCAACCGGTATATCCTTTTCATATTTTATTTTTTCCGTTTCTTCTGTTGTGTTAGCACTTCCAACGGGTGGTGAATCGTTTTCCGAGAACATGGTGCTAAGGACAATGCTTTTTTTCTTTGGAGGATTTAAAACAGTTGAACAGTCATCCTCTCGAACTTAAATTTAGTAAATGCATTTCATCCTTTTTAATACCCCAATCTCTATCTTATCCCCATCATTTTCACATATCCCAGACTCGGCCTCGATTCATTTGAGAGCTTTCTCGAGAGCTTTCTCTCATTTTGAGGGCTGTTATGAAGGATTAGAGACGCGATAAGATAGAGATTCCCCTGTTATATTCAAAGAAAAACCAATAGTTGCAGCTTTAAATGATCCAATAGATCTAGCAGAACGATTGCTGTGCGTTCCCCCACCTGCCCCAACTCCAACAACGTTCTGCGCAAAATTAGAACTACTTCCACTTCCATTATAACGACGAGGTCTACTAACACCTAAACAACAGGCTAGCCGGCGAAATTCTTTCATTCGGAAATAACAAAGTGGTTGGCATACAGAATGAACACCAATTAGTATCTAAAATTATATTTTTAATTCTTGTACATAATTTAAAAGTTAGTCTTGATTCTTCTACAAATTTACTCAACGAATATCCACCCTCCGGTAATCATTCTCCGTGTTTTTTCCCTAAAGCCTCTGTCCTATCTTGGCTTCCCTTGCTTCGAATTTTTGTTTCTTTTGGAGCAGATTAATCTCTGCCAGAAACCTAACTTTGTGACAGAAAACAACAAATATCTAACCTTCATTCCTCTTAAATACATATTACTACTTACTTGAAGTCCCCAACGTATTAAAGTACTCATTTGAGATGTTGCAAGTAAATTATTTAAATGTAAAAGTGCCACCATTTGAATACCCGAATATGGAAAAAGAAAAAGGACATCAACAAATAAAACAGTTCCAATAACAATTAAATATTTGTGTCTGGACATTAAATGACTTTTCCATTTTCTATGTGAATTACAACGACGACTACTATAGAAATAAAATTAAACTATATCCCAATTAAGAACAAATCTAAAATACCTTTGTTCGATATTATTGTTATTTATAGTACAATAATGGCATTGTCCACACCCTCCCCCATCTCCCTGCTCAGCAGCAACACAACTACCTATACTTTGGGGACTTCCTGCTGTTGAAATTGTACTAAACTTTTTTCTATTTTGATTATATTGGTCTAATAATAATTGTTGTTTTTGCTGTTCTAATTTTCGAATTTGTGATGTTGCATGACTAGAAGGGGAAAATGAAGGTTGTAGATTGGGACTTGTATTGTTAGATTTTAATTGATGTCGGTGGTTGTGGTGCATTGACCTTTGTAAGATTAAAACAATGTATAATTATGAGTAATCTTGTTCCTCATGAAAGGTAATTTTCAGGATGTAGATTTTCAGGAGTAGCTGATCTCCGCAGCCCCTTCCTGTATTTTCTGCATGGTAAGCCTATCTCTTGAATCCCTCCCTTTCAATAACCCTCACACACAAAATTTTCTCTTTCCGTATAAACCTAAAAATAACAATTACCTTTTATGGTAAATTGAACTTCCTCGTACCAAATTTCGACCATTATTGGAAGAAAGAGCAACAGTTTCTTCCTCTCGACTTTCCCCAACATTTTTTAAAATACGTCGAGAACCAACACCTCCACATTTTTGGAATTGACGGATTGTTCGAAGAATTTTTCCGTAGCAAATAAGAACAGTAAACAAACAAACATAGCAAAGTACAAAAATCATTAGCATCTAAAAAATTGAAGATTGTTCTTTTCATTGATAAATGTTTTGAGAATGGTCTTCTTGCCCAGTTAATTACTCAATCCTTTTAATTCCCAATACGTTTCTCGAAAATCCCCTTCTATATTTTTTAATTTCTCGTCACTTTTTATAAAAATTTTTTTAGCTTATTTACGTACTTATAATAATCTATGCGAGTTATACCAGTTATACCCAGAAGCGATAACAAAAAGTGGTTTATAACTGGAGCCTACCGTATATCCTTTAATAACTACCCTGGGTAATTATTGTTTCAACCTTCCGCTGGAGGGTATAATTAATTGAGGGAGAGTAATTATACGAGGTTTGAAATTTGAATGTATTTTAGGGCATTTGTTTTGGGTAATTATTGTTTCAATCCATTGCTGGATGGAGTAATTAATAGAAGTGGGGTAATTATTTGAGGGAGGGCAATTAATATAGGTTATACTGTATTCTTTAAAATTTATTTTAATAAAAATCAAATATTTTTTTACACTCAAAACATTAATAGACAATCCTCCAGTTTGTCTTCTAGTAAAATCTTTTTGATGAACAAATAAAGAGGAAGATATTGTTTGATTATTTAAAATAAATTCTTTCTCATTTTCCTCCTCAAATTTTTCTTGTAAAATACTTTCTTTTCTAACCATCAAAGAATGGGCAGAATCAAAAAAATTAGAAAATATAGACCCAATACCAAAAAGTAAACTTATTAGCCAACTAAAAATTTAAAAAAATCTTTAAAAAGAAATTTTCTTTACCAAAATGCAAGAATAAATAAAACAATTCTTCTTCTAAAATATCTTCTATAATGCAAGGGATATTTAATTACAATAAATTCATTTGTTGTAAAAACAAGTAAATTAAATATTGTTAATAAATTACATGAACGTAATATTACTAATGTTACTTGATTTATCTGCAAAAAAATTTTTTTAATTTTTAATTACCCAAAAATTACCCAAGTTTAAGAAAAAAGTTAAAAAACTTATGGAAATCGATAATTTAACATCAATGTCAACACCACTCACTACTTCGAATATTAACAACAAAAAATTAAAACTACATCAATTAAACAAAAAACTTTCTAATTTTTCCGAACAATTTTCTAACGACATGCCACCTTGGGCCTCAGCAATGCTTGAAATTGTAAATTCTGTAATGGAACTTTGTAAGGATATTCTTACAAATGAACCAGAACAACAAACAACAGAAACTAAATATCGATTTGGAGACCCTTTTTCCGCTAGCAACAAACAACATAATTCTTTAGAACAATCTCATTTGACCAATATCATAAACAACGCTATTTTGGACGCCGAAGAAATCAAGTCTAAATCAAAAAGAGTTGTTATTGAACGGGCTCCTGAAAATGTTGACATCACTTCTTTAGTTAAAAAAATTGCTTCAGATTGCGGAGTATCTTCTGATCTTTTGGAAAATGACATACATCGACATCCATCTCGTGAGTTATCAAATGTTGTAAATAAGAAACCAAGAATTGTCAAAATCCCATTTAACAATAAAAAATCTAGGGATATTTTTCTTTATAATTTTCGTAAATGTCTTAAGCAAAATCCATCTTTACCGCAGTTTTTAACTGCTAGACGTGATATGACTCGAAACGAATTAAATATTTTGTATAACTTGCGTAAGCAAGCATTTTCTATGAATCAGGTCGAGAACATGTTTAAGTACATTGTTGTCGATCTGTCAATCATTACACTTAAAAAACCACAACCGCTCAGGGCAACTAAAAATAAATAGGGGTACGCAGGCAAACCACAAACAAAAATAACAAACGGAAATATTTACTCATATAAATGTATATTATTCAATTCTCGGTCGCTTGCCAATAAAATACCAGATTTAAATTATTTGATTGAAAATTCTAACCCAGAGCTGATATTAATCAACGAAACGTGGCTCAAAACAGATAATATAATAAATTCTGAACTATCACATATGGGTAATTATGAAGTCATATTAGCTAATAGAATAGAAAAAAGAGGCGGAGGATCGGCAATCCTAGTAAAAAATAACATACCTTTTAAAATAATTTTCTCTGGCTCTAAATTCCAATCAGAGATTGTACATATAAAATTATTGCTTGAAAAAGAAATTAACATTATAAACATTTACCGACCACCAAATAGTTCAATTCTTAATACAAAAAAGTTATTTAAATTCCTTTTAAATCAAATCAACCAAAAAACTATATTATGTGGAGATTTTAACATTAGACACATAAACTGGTATTCTAACGAAATAATTGACAATTATGACAAGATCGCGAATATTTTCATAGAGTTTATAGGTCAGAATCAATTAAAACAACTTGTTACTGAACCAACTAGGGAAAATTCAATCCTGGACCTAGTACTTACATCTGATTCCGGTATTGTTAGAACTATTAAAGTTAGGGAGAATTTTTCAACTTCCGATCACAAAATGATAGAGTTTGAGCTTAATTATCGTGTTAAAGTAATTAGGAAGCCCAAGAGTTACGTAAGAGATTTTAGTAAATCCAATTTTATTAATCTAAATCAAGTCATATTTCGAAATAATTTAGATCTAGGTATATCAACGAAATTCACAGTGGAAGATAAATACATTTATTTAACAAAAGAACTTCTATGTCTTTATAACAAATATATACCAATGAGAGCACTAAATAAGATAATAAGAAAAGCATACCCTCAAAGAATTAAGGAATTACACAAAGAAAAGCTTATATTATTTAGGTTACTTAAAGAAAGAATATATGATAACAATTTAAGAGTTAAGTATAAAATCGTCTCAAGAAACCTAAAAAAGCAATTAAAAATTCATCATAACACAAATGAAGAAAAAATAATCAATAAAGGTGGAAATTCGATACATAAGTATATTAGAAACAGACTTACGCAAGATAATAATATTCCCTGTCTAATTGATAAAGAAAACAAATTTTACTTCAGCGATGAAGAAAAATGTAATATTTTGGGAAAAGGGTTTCAAAAGAATTTTCAAAAAAGAAGCATTAATCTCTCAGATAGCGATGGAAATATAATTCCAGAATCAAAGTTTACAGACATAGATTTAAGTACTAGTATTGTGTGGGATACCCTCAGATCACTTCCTAGTAAAAATTCTACTTCTCCAGACAATATACCTTATATATTACTTAAATATTGCGCTGACTCACTTGCAAAAATAATCACAGATACCTTTAGAATTATTATTGATAATGGGCAAATTCCATCAATTTGGAAATCGTCACTTATTATACCTCTATATAAAAAAGGGGAAAAATCAGATCCAAACAATTATCGTCCAATATCGTTAACATGCACCCTGTGTAGGATTTTAGAAAGAATTATCGCAAAACAATTAGTAAAATACTTAGAAGATAATAAGTTCTTTAATCAAAATCAGTTTGGGTTTCTTAAATCAAGATCCACAACAACACAGTTATTATCCACAATGAATGATCTATATAATGCAATACAAGATGGATATAGTATAGATATCATATACATTGACTTTGCTAAGGCATTTGACACTGTACCGATAAATATTCTTCTAGATAAGATAGTAAAAGCAGGCATTAGTGGAAAAGTCTATACATTTCTTAAAAATTTTCTATCTGATAGAAATTTCAAGATTAAGATTGGTGACCAAATATCTTGCGAATATGAAACATTCTCAGGTGTACCTCAAGGTAGTGTCTTAGGACCTCTTCTATTTCTTATTTTTATAAATGATCTTCCGAATCAAATCCCTGAAAACATTGGAATAAAATTATATGCAGACGACGTAAAACTATATGTAGCTCATAGAAATGGCATAGAAAGGGATGAACTTAATAAAGCTTTATGGAAACTTGAAAAATGGACAGAGTTAAATGGTTTAGAAATATCTCCTCATAAGTGCTTTGCCTTATATCTAGGGAAAAATAACCTGAAAAGAGAGTATAACATTCATGGATTAAAAATACAAGAAACAGAATGCATTCGCGATCTTGGAGTTTTAATTGATTCTAAAATATCTTTTAATAACCATATAAATATGGTTATAAAAAATGCATATCTAAAAAGTTTCCAAATAACAAGAATCATTAAGTCTAGAGACTTAAATCTTCTTGTTAATATTTATAAAACTTATATAAGACCCCAGCTAGAATATGCAACTGAAGTGTGGAATCCACACATGAAATATCAAATAGATAAAATCGAAAGAATTCAAAAACTATTCACTAAGAATATTTACAAAAAATGTGGATTAATCAAGGTCCCATATGAAGAAAGATTAAATACTTGCAAACTTGAAAAGTTAATAGATAGAAGAAAGATTGCCGATCTTTCCACTGCTTTTAAAATTATAAAAGGGTTTACATCTCTTAATTCCCAAAATTATTTTAATTTTTCAAATAGATCACTTCGCAGGCCTCTACTTCTAAGGATTAAAAAACACACGAACAGAACAAAAAATAATTTTTTTCATAGGGTGGTAAATAAATGGAATAATCTTCCAAATGAATCATTTAAAATAAATGATCCCAAAAAATTTAGAAGTTTTATTAAATTATCACAATCTAAATAAAATTTTTGGAAAAATTAACCTTGAGCGTTATTGTGTTTTTTTTTATGTGTAATATTAAATTCATTTATTTTTATTGTTCATTTTTAAAGTTATTTTTATTTTTGATGTTGTTTCCTACATATATATATTTTTTTTTTGACATTAATTTATTTTTTATGTTTTTTTTTTGCACCACATTAATGTATTTTAAAATACCTGTGGTTTGCTGATAAATAAATAAATAAATAAATAAAAGATTTTTTATAAATTATATCATCATTATAAAGATGTAAAGGATGCCCTTCTCCTCTTATTTTAATTATGTATGTAAGGGAATAGAATCTCAACAATGATTAATTTTCGATTTCAAACCGAACTGAAAATTTCGATTTGGAAGAATTTACTGAAATCTACAACCATAGCATAGAGAGAAACCTCAGTTTTTGAGATTTCTGAACTTGGTTTTTGAGTAATTCCTATTAACTTGCTCATGCTAGGATTTCTTTTTTTGAAGTTTCTCCTTTTATTTAATTTCTCTTTATTTAAATTCATTAAAATATTTAAAATTAAAATCTTTATCCTGCCTTTAATGCAGTAAGTCTGTCTTGTATAGATCTCATTGTATGCACTAATAAATGTGGCATTCCCCAAGCAATTAAACATCCGCCACGAATTAAATCAACAATAGCACAATGAAGTACCATAACATAAAAAACATTAACTAAAACTCTTCGACGATTTCGAATTAATGCAATAATTACAAAAGCATTTAGAAGAATACAAAGGACACCTAAAACATCACAGAGTAATATGGCTGCCATTTTTGCCTGTGAAAATTATTTTATTGTTTAATTGGTTAAAAATTTGGGAAGTAAATTTTTGAATTTAGCGTAAAAAAGTAAAACTTAAAGTAAATTTCTATTAACTCCTAATTATTAACTCCCCAATTATAATGCTCCTTCATTTTTGAGCAAGGAATTAAAGTATATTTTTAAAAATTAGAAATATAAACTGTGGAGTTTCTGATACAAAGTGGAATAGTAGGATTTAGTAGGAATTCACCGTTTCCAAAGATAATTTTTAAAATATTAGAAATAATTATAACAAACAACAAACATCGTTAGAATAAACCCTTGGAAGAAAAATGGAGGAAGAAGATTGCCAGTCTTCTTCTCTTCCTTCAATCTCTCCAAATTCTTCATTAACAACTTCATCATTCCATTCCTCTTTAATTTTTTGAGGATTTATTTGGAGAAAAATAGTCATTAAAAATAAATATATATTAAAATCTGAAGATGATTTAATAAATTATTTAAATTAAAAAATTAAATTTATTCGATAATCCATTTTCCTAAATTATTCTTAGAAGGTTTAACATAATTGGCATAGCTATGAAAGTGAACTTGGAAGATATTCGTCAAGCAAATCTGTAAAGGATCCCTAGACAGAAATCCCGGTTCAATACCAATCTAATTTTGAGGGATTTGTGGGGGGAATCTAGAGTAAACTTGGTTGGAATTCCGATAATCCGAGCTCTGAATTTTAGAGGAAATACAACATATAATATTCTTTTTCTTAAATATTCTAAAAGAAAATAGGGAGAAAACAGTAATTTATTTAAAAAATAATTTCTAAAGAATTGTCTGTAAAAATTAGCATCAATAGATATTCTTATTCAGTTTATATATTATTTTTTGCATTTTTTAAAAAAAGAAAAAAATTTAATAAATATTTAATAAATAATATAAAGCTGAGTTGATTAAATATGAAACTTTTCGACTAAAAAAAGAAAATTGAAATAGACAGAAATGAGAAAAATGGAAAGAGATGAGGGGCACTAACACCTCTCTCCCTCAGTTACTTAAATTTTGTTTACTTTTTATTTTACAGATTTTTTTAAATTAAAAAGTACATGTATATTTTTTTATTATGCTTTTTATTAAATTAAATTAAAAAAAAGAAAAAAAAAGTATTTGGGTTTGTTTTGATGTTTAGGTTCCCCTACTCTAGCTATGAAAGTTTAAACATAAAGGGATAAATCTTTTACTTAGAGGAACAATAACCATATCTGGAATAATTTCTGTATAATCTTTGAAACTTTTTAACTGCTTAAATTTGTTAAATAAGGTTAAATGAAAAATGGAAATTGTCGGGTTTTCCAAAGTTTTGGACAAAATTTTAGAGAAAATGGCAAATCACGACTTAATAAAGTTTTCAGAGTGTTTTATACAAAAAAAGAATTTATAGGAGTTTCAATCATTTTCATAAAGCATTTTTGGAGCTTCTATAATCCGGTGTGAAATTTGTAATTTTAAACAAAATATTTATTAAATAACCTCCAAAAAACAACAAATTTAGTAAATAAAAGAAAAAATATTCAAAAAAACAAGACACAAAAATTGAGTTGGAAATTACTTTAAAAAGAAAGAAATACTTGAAAGAATGCCTTAAATTGGATTTATACGAGCGCAAAAAATAGCAGCAATAAAAAAGGAAAAAATAAAAGAAAATTATTTTTTGAAGTTTTATTTAATATTAAAATTAAGAGAAACTAAATAATCTTTTAAATTTAATTTAAGTTTGAATTTTAAATTGATGAATAGGGGAGGAAGAAATATTTATTAAAAATGAGGTATTTAATTTTTAATTGCGATTTTATAAAATTTAAGTTTTGAAATTTTGATTTAATTTTAAGGTTATAATTTAATTTTAATATTGTAATTTGGGTTTTAATTAATTTGTAAGATATTTTCGAAACCCCAAAATGATTAGAAAAAATTTAAATATACTATTTCAAAATTAGAAAGTAAACAGAAAAACTAAATAAAATTCCTAAAAAGGACAACTAACTACAAACTTTTATTTATTTAAAATCAAAATAATATTTTTGTAAAAATTATTTAAAAAATATTCAAATAATAATTTTAATTTCTCGACTACTATTTCCCCCATTAGAATACTTTTAATGATTAAACAAAAAAATATTTTGTTTCAAAATTTCGAAAATAATAATTAAACAAAAAGCATTCAAAAAACAACATTTTTACTCTTCTTTCCGTTCTAAATAAATATAATATTTTATTTATTTTTTTTACTAAAAATAAATAAAATGCCGAAATTCAATCGTTTATTCCCTTTTTTTAAAACAATTTATTAAATATAAGGGTTTTCAAATTTTGTATAGAGGGAGGCGGTTATTCTTCTAAAACACAAATTTATATACGTAATCTTTTTTTAAATTTAGTTTTATTTAATTTTTGTAGAAAAAGGAAATTGAAATAAATAAAAAAATGTTTTTTGGATTTTAATATTAAATAAAAAATATAAAAATAAATTTAATTTTGGGGAGAAATATGATAAGAGATATTTCCTTTTTGATATCTAAAAATAAATATTTATTTAATTAACCAAACCCTTTTTTCAAGTTACAATATTTTCAATAATTATTTAAATATTATTGACATTAATTGCAAAGAAAATATATAATAAAAAAATAAATAAAAATTTTCTATAAGATTAGCAGTTAAATCACGTAAAAGTTTGGCCCTTTGGAGATTTGGATGGGATTTTAACTTTAAAGGGATTAAAGATTACAAAGATAGAGGTGACTAAAACTTGTAAATGCATGTTTTGTCTACAATTATGATTAAAGTTTCTAGCGCTTTCTTGAGCGTATAACCCTACATATAACAACCCCACATCTAATGAAAAAACTAAAATATAATTATTTTCTTATAATATTTATATCTAAAATTTTTCTAAAATAAAACAAAAAATAAATATAAAACAACAATATATATTTTATTTAAAATTCAGTGGCTAATCCACCCCCAGGCAATATTCTAGCTTTTGGTATTGTTAAAGTCCCACTTCCATACATGCTAACTGGTGGAGGTAAAGGAAATTCAAAATCATCTGAATTATTTGATTTCCATCTAAAAATATTTTAATTAAATAAAATTTTATTTTTAAGAAGCCCCTTCTTGGAATAACATTCACAGTTACCATTGGAGGGATATAAGGGATTTAGAGTAATTAAGAAGGTTTTTACGTATTAACAAAATATAGAAAGTCAGGGGATTTGGATTAAGAAAAATAATAGGATATTGTGGATTAAGATCGATATCAAGGGATTTGGGTGAATTAGGAGAGATAACAGGAAATAAAGGGTATCGAGTGTATTTATTTATCGGTGTTTATCGGTACGGAACAAAATTCCGATCTCTAATTACAATCATCAACATTTTACAATAACCTTTCTTATTTTTCCCAAAAAACTACCTCAATTGTTGTTTTAACATTCCAAAAGGAATATAAGAATTTCTTTCATCCATTAAATATTCGTTATTTAAATAATTATTTTTATTTTTTTCTAAAAAAATTGAAGAAATTTTGTAATTATTATTTTGTTTTTTTAAATAATTTTTATTTATTTTTGAAGATTTTTGTTGGCATTTTTTAATAAATTTAATTAAAATTAAAAATAAATAAATTAAAGGTAATAATAAAGCTAAAATAATTATTAAAATAAAAATTAATAAATTTAAATTTGTAAATAATTTTGTGGAATTAATTAAAGCATTATTTGAAGAAGAGGAAGGAAGAATAAAAGAATTATTAATATCAAATGACTAAAATAAAAAAAGTAAATTTTTAAATTTAAAGAAAAGAAAAAGAAAATAATGTTTGGGTTGATCGGCTAACTAAATTAAATGATTCTGAATAGAGTTCCATTCCTTAGCCTTCTATTTTTAATTTAATTAATTTTTCTATATTACCTAATCATTTTTATGTGCATACCTTCGTTCTCTTTAAGCATTAAATAAAATGTTTTTCCCTAATTTAATATCCAATCCTAACGAAAATATACCTTAAGCAGAACTTAAACAAAGCCTAAGGAAAATTTATACCTACAGAGAAAAAATATTAAAATTTATAAAGAAAAGATTCAGCACAAAAATTTAGAAGTAAATTAAACAAGTTTATTTTTTTCAATCTTAACTAGGGTTGCCGTTTTCGATTCGAGCCGACGTTCGATGCATTTTTTCAAGCTTGGTTTTTTTTCGATTCGGTTCGTTTTCGAGCTTTTCGAGCTGAAAAGCCTCGGCTCGCCTAATCTTTAGAGTTTCTGTTCGAGCGAGCTGGCAACCTTAATCTTAACTTATTTTATACATATCAGACAACCCCCAATATTTCTTTACAAAAAATAAAACAACTGTATTTTCACTCCCCCACTTATTAAAAATATTTAATTTTTCTTACTTTTTCCTCAAATCCAATAATTCCAAAATTTTCTTTTAATTTATTTCTTGTATTATTTAATTTAAATATATTTTTAATTATTTGTAATCCAATAAAAGAATTAATTGGCTGGAATAAATTATCCAAAAAATAAATATTTAATATTAAACAATTTTCTCTTCCACATTGAAATAAACGATAAATTGGTATATATTTTATATTTAAATAAGTAGTATTTGTTAAATTAATATTATTTTGGACAATTGAAGAAAGTATACTTAAAAAATTAAAAATTGTTTTGTATTTAGTAGTAAAAGAGACGGAACTTTCTGTTATCGTTAAAACTTCCGTAACTCTCTTTTAAGTATTTTATGTTCTAGATTGTTTTACCTTTCCAATTCAATCAAATCCAAATCATCAATATCATTATCCCTGAATATATATAATTCTAATAAATGTTCATTTGGATTGAGCAGTGAAACCTTAAAGGATTTATTGGATTACTTTTAATATTGGAGAGTAAAGTTGTTTCTCCTATTTAAATTCGAATACTATTAAGATAAGGTGATCGAAGAGACTAAAAGATAATAAAGAATACGTGAACTCAGAATAAGATATACGTATAGGATTTCCCCTATGTAACTAGGATCTCTCCTTCTCTAATTTAAACAATTTAAATATTTCCAGTTTTCTTTACCGTAACAGTTGTTTGATCTTCGTGTTGAGCAGGTAAAGGATCATTTACCCTTACTCGAAAAGTATATCTTTAAAAATAAATTCATTAAATATTTACTATAATTAAATTTATTAACGATTTAATTGCTGTCTTAGATAAATCAACATCCTCTTTAATTGACAATTCCCCAGTTGAACGATTTAAATTAAAAGGAATATTAGACATTGAAATTGGCTTTAGAAAATGAAAAAAATAAATATTTTTAAAATTAAATCTACTATACTTCTCCAAAAGTTTGTATCATTCCTTCACCCCAACTATAACGTAAATTGTATTTATCCCCTTCATCTAAATCATCAGCTTTTAACTGAAGGAAAGGTTGTTCTTTTTTATTAATATCAATAATTGCAGCAAAAAAGTGTTTAATTAAAAATTGGGGGGAATTATCATTAATATCAATTATATTTATATTTAAATAAATAAATGAGGAGAGGGTAGAATTGTTTTCCTTTGAAATACCTTCATTACATTTTTGTTTTATATTTGGGCAATCCTCTACAATTAATTTAAGTTGATATGAGGGTATAAGTTCTCTATCCAATCCTTAAATTTTCAACAATATTTTTTTTTATTTTAAGAAAGAAAATAATATTTGATTTCTGAATTATTTTTAAAAATTAAATTAATTTTCATATTCAATTTTCATTTTCTCATTTAAGTGGAAATTTAAAATTCATGGAAATTTAATTTTAAATTTAATTTTAAAGGCGGTTATTTATAATTTTAAATTTCTTGGCAAATTTAAAATTTTTTAAATTAAAATTTGATTGGCTAATGAGTTGGGAGAGCTGCTTGGGAGAGGAGTGTGTTTAATTAAATAGGTATTAAAATGATATTTACATATCTAAATTTAAATCAAAAAACCTTTAATTAAATAAATTTCAGGCCTTTCAGGTATTAAAATACCAAAAGTCCCCCCTTTATTCTCCACTAATTTATAACATTTGGATTTTTGTTCTTCACTTCTATCTAAATCTATCGCCTCGGGAAATTGATTTATTGGAATATTTTTATTTGGAATTTCGTCTTCTTTAATATCAATATTCCACTCATTTTCTTCTTTTAAAAAATTAAATTTCGGGCAATTATCGTTTAAATCCAAAACTTTTATTTGTAAAAATAATTTTTGACATTCTTTTTTAATAGAACAAATATTAATTAAAATTAAATAAATATTTTGACGTTCATAATCAAAAGAATTTAAATATGAATTATTTAAATATTCTTTATAATAAAGTTTGCCGTTAATTGAATTTATAGAAAATTTATCTCCATCCTTTTTTAAAATTAAAATATTAATTTGTTTATCTTAATTAAAATAAATTTTGAGATAAAAAGAAAAAGTATCTGAAAAGTTTTCTGGTGGGAGGTGTTGGGGGTGTTCTTGGGAGTGTTCCTAGGTACCACAAGGCCAGTGTGCCGCGGAGCTATAACTTCGCTCAAAGTTATCAAATCCCGGACGCCTTGGCATGGTTCGATGCATCTCGACGAGCTCAATCGAACCATACCAGAGCGTCATGGATTCGACAAATTTGAACGAAGTTATAGCTCCGCGGTACCTTGGGCTCGCAGTAATTTGGCATGCTCCTAAGTCCTCTAAACTAAAAATTACTCGAGTTAGACCTGTTTTTAATTTTTATTTTATTGATATTATTAATCAATGATATATACACTCCAGTTTAGAGAACTCGGGCTTCTCCTCTTAGTGTAAATCATTCTTATTTCCTCAAGATTTTTTCCTAGAATCTTGAGGAATTTTTTAAATATACTTTTTTGATAATATAAGGAATTAAATTCTCTTTAATAACTTAAATCTACTCTGTAATATTTAATCCTAAATTTAATTCTTATCCATCTCAATATTTTTTTAAATTAATTTAATAAAATAATTTACTTTAAAATTTTCAAAAATTGAATAAACAACATTAGAACTGTTAGTTATAATTGCTAAAAGAGCAGGTAAATCTTGCTTCTAAAAAATATGGAATATTAATTATTTTAAATTACTATAGGTATAATATTTACTTCAGGAAATAAATGTATTGAATTATTTAAAGGCCAAAGTAGTTTAATAGGGGTTTCTTCTAATTTGGGTATTTCCACACAAATATTTTTTGATTCAAAATTTTTTCGAAAAGTTAATTTTAGAATAACACAATGAAGGCTATGTAAAGTTTGTAAATCTGACAATTTATTTTTTAATATTAACAATTGTTGGCCTTTCAATTGAAATAATTCTAGAAAATGAGAATAATTATAAATTAACTTAAAAATTTAAATTTTAAAACAAAATTATTGTTCTATAATTTATGTTCCATTATGTGTGGGGATCTAAAAGAAGTTGAGGGAATCCCTAAAACCTGTCAATTTTTCCTTGTCTTTTTAACTCTTTTCCTAGCTTAGTCTAAGTCTAATTTTATTAACTCGAAATATTTAAATATATTATTTTAATTTTTATAAAAATATCAAGAGTAGGATTGTCGCTTCTAAACTGAAAATCTGAAAATTTTTCTTGCTGCTTCTGGATATCCAAAATATTTCATAAACCAATAACTCTACTCAAATTTTTAAAGAAACTATTAATTAATAGTTTCTTGTTTATCAATAAATTAATTTTAATTTTTCTAAAAATTACATAAATTATTACCATTTTTATTATTCTCTAAATTAACATATTTAACCAATTCTTCAGGAATTTTAATTAATTTAATAAAATCCTTTCCTTCTTCAAAATTATTATTTCCAGATTTATTTAATTTAATTATTATTGTTCCATTTTCATTATTTTTTACTTTAAATTCCTTTTCTAACCATTTTTTAAATTTATTAATTATTGAATTTATTTTTACATTTATTTTTGCCAATAAATTATTTTCTTTATTTAATTTAATTTCTGCTTTTAATATTGGAGTATTTTCAAAATTTAATGGTTGTGAGATTTGTATAGAGCCATTAGGTAACATTTTTAAAGAATTACTTCCATCTAATTGAATAAATTGAATTGAGGAAGTTTGGTCTTTGAAAAGAGAGAAAATTTAATTTAAAAATTGAAAAAGAAGGGTTGGAAATGAGAGGGGATCCGAAAAAAAGTCGGAGGAATCCCTAAGATCCGCCACCCCATACACTGTGTCAGAAAATGATAGACACACCTAAATTTTCTGTCATATCTCGTGATATATTTAAGTTATTTTTCTTTAATTTTTTTACATTTATCGCTTCAGACGCTAAGATGGATATCATTAATAAAAATTTCATAAATATTTTTTAAGTAATTTTTATGTCGGATTTTTCGAAAAGCGTGTGTCAGAAAATGATAGACTCACTTTAATATTTGATCAAGATTTTTTTCCGACACAATGTACCCGTCTTTTTAACCCTTTTCCAAGTTTAGTCTTACCTTTCAAAATATTTTCCTTCAAAAAACTTACTTAAAGAAGGCAAAGGAATATGTAAAAGTTCTAATCCAACAGGCGCATCTTCACTAAGAGATTCAACATTAAAAGTTTTGGGGATAATATTTTTAATAAATTGTTCTTTAATTGTTTGTAAAGTTGTTGATTTTATTTTCTCTTCATGGTTGTTTCTTCGTTTCACAAAAGTTATTAGAGGAACTAAAAAATAAATAATATTTTTATTTTTCAAAAAAGGGAATAGGTAATATGTATGTATTAGTTCCATGATTCTAGATGTCACAAAAAGTTAAAAATTTTTAACAGTCAATTTGTTATTAAAAATTTTTTTCCCTTATACTTTTCAAACAAACCAGTAAATCCTTTTGTCGTTGTTCCAATTGTAATATTTTGTTTTAAAGAAATATTCTTTCTAAAATTCGAGTTAAAAAATATTTCATCCTTCTCTTCATTAAATTCATCCTCCTCCTCTTCTTCCTTATTTTCTTCTTCCTCTTCCCCCTCATTTTTATTTAGATTATTTGCTATATCAGAAACAGCTACAACATTAATTTTAATTTCTGCTGTATTTGACCTTTTATGTGTAATTCCAGCTCCATCTCTCGCCAAAACTTTAATTGAAGCTCTTTCCCCTTCAAACATTGACTCTTTTAATCTTAATTCAACTGAACATTTTGGCCATTTACATTGTGGGGAATTTAATGAAAATAAAGAATTATTTTTGTTGTCATCTGATATTAAAGAGAATATACTAATTCCGCCAATACCTTGGTCAAAATCTATAATTTCCAATCGACGAATTAGAAAGCCTGGAGGAGAGCCCTGTTAAATTAATTGTTAATTTATGTAAATTTTTAATAAAGGCTTTATCTAAAATATAAAAAAACTAACCGCAGGAATAATTAATTCCAAAGGGAAAGGCCCTCCCAAAAAATAAGGAGGATTATCATTAACATCGACAACTTCAATTTGAAGTGTTGCTCTGTCTTTATTACTTAAATCCTCAAATAATAGAGAATAAGATTGTGATGAAGGAGAATTGATAGGAGGATATTTTTGGTTTTCTTCATTTTGATTGATAAAAATATTTGAAGAAGGGACCTAAAAAGAACAAAATTTTATTTAAAATTTCATTTCTTAATTAAATTTTTAAAATTTCTTTTATTAGAATACTCCAGAATATGTATTTTTTAAATAATGTAACTTATTTTCGGGTCTTTCTCTTCCTTTTGATCTTTTTACTTTTTGCTACTACATAACAGAATAAACTAACAGAATAATCATTTTCCTATCATTTCTTAATTCTGTGGAATTTTAAAAATTAAAAGAAATGCCTCGCTAAATCCCTTAATCAAATTAAAGATTAATAAAAAATAAAGATTCCTGATCAACATCCAATTCTTCAGTTAAAATTAACCCCGAACAGCTTTCATTTAATCGAAAGACTTCAAAAGGTAATTTATTCTCTATTTTTCTTTCATTTTCAAAATTTAAAGATTTTGTATTTGAAATAGATAATTCTAATGGATTCTCGATTGATTTATTATCATCTGAACATATTTGGACGTCTAAAAGTTTTCCTGAAGGCCAATCTTCATCAAGAAAATAAACATCAGGCGGATAAATAGATAAATGACCAAGAACTTTAAAAATAAAGAAAAAAATTTAAAGAATTATTTTTGGATTTTAATTAATAAAAAATTATGTTTTAGAAATTAAATAAAATTAAAAAAAAAGAAAATTTGTATACCATAAATATCCTATAATAGAAGCCCACCCCATGAGATACATACATATATTGAATATTAGGATTATATTAGGATATTTACGGCTTATATTAGGATAATAATTTAATTATAAATCAAAAAATTAGATTAATAAAAATGAGTGAAAAATATTTTTTAGTAGAATTAATGTTAAATAAAATTATTTAAATTTACTTACTTAATAATTTAAAATAAAGTAATTAAATTTCGTAAAAAAATAAAAAATCAAATTAAAAACAAAAAATGCCCTAATTAATTCTCACTTTTTTTGTTCAATAATTTTATTTATTAAAAGAATTACCAGATTGTAATGCAAGTTGAGCAAGTAAATGAGTAAAAACTGATGGAATATAATTACCAAAATTATTAAAATATTTATTCATTATTTAATTTATTCAATTAAAAAATAAAAGAGGATTTGATTAAAATAAATACTAAATGATTATTAAAAAAGAGAAGTGAGAACAATAAAATAAAATATTTATTAAGTGGATATTTTTTGTTGGAACATTTTATTTTATTTTAATTGTTTGGACAAGGACTTTAAAAATATTTTTCTTTTTCTTTCAAAAGTCTATAAACAAAATAGTTTCAGATTTAGAAAATTCCATGCTTCATTTTCCGATTAATCCATTGAGTAAAGAGATGGGGAATTATTTAAACAAAGAATTGTTTTTAGTTAATCGCTAAATAATCGCCTTTCCATTAATTTTATGTACTTGTCCTTAAATTTATTTTTTAATAAGAGAATCTTGTAGAAATCTACAAGTTATTCTAAAATTTAATAAGTTTATAAATCAAAAGCTTTCTTCAAAAGCTTTCTAGACATAACTGCTTCGAAAATCTAAAAGTCAAAACAATTCACTCCCTAGCAATTCAAAATTCCATTAAGTCTAACTTGAAAATTCTGCTCAATTCATTGTATAATTTAAAATATACATAATGGTTAATTATTAAAATCAAAAGATTAATTATAAGAAGATTTTGACACTCGCCCCTTATTTAAGCAATTTTAGAATGAGTAAAGCGGCATAAACTTTATATTGAACAAAAGAAAACTTAAATCAAGGCTATTTAAAGTCTTTTGAGTAAAAAGTTAAATTGACTGGACGTATTTTTTTTAATTATTATAATGATGAATAGATTAAATTCCCAAAAATCCTTATTATTTAAAAATTACAAAAGTTTTCACAAAAATTTTTAAGCAAAGGATGATTAATATTCTCACTTTTTTAATTTTCTCATCCTTATTTTCTCCATACTTTTAGGTATATACATAATAGTAATTCAAGCAACAATCAACAAGTCAAAACTTCCCGCGCGTACAATTAAAGTTATAGGGAAAAATTGTTTTGAGGGAAAAAAGGAAAGTGCTCAAAAATAAAAATAAGAAGATGACTATTTTGGAGGAAAATCATTAGTGGAGTGGAACAAATAAAAATAACTAATTTTGTTGAAATAATAAATAATTTGAATATTTTATTGTTTATTAAATAAATAACAATATTTTACTTTGCTCCAGAGTTGGCTATTAAATTCTTGAAATGCTTTATTGATGGTTCTAGCAAGAAAATCATTAAAAGAATTTATTAATTTTATTCACTTTATACTTTTAAATATTTTTTCAAAAACTTTCTAATGTTTAACGTGTAACACCAACATTTTTACGGCCAAGCACGGCATTAATTAATAATTCGTTATATTCTGCTCGCAGTTCCAAAGCCTAATAAAAAATATTTTTGAATTAAAGTTGACAAAAGTATAGGGGAATTTTGATAGATTAAATTTATGTTAAATAAAGGCTAGGGACATTTAAATAGAAAAAATTTTAAGCATGAAATTTATTTACCCGTTGTTTTGATGGTCCATAGTCTAGCTTAGTACGTAATTCAGTCAATTTTTCATCAAGCTGCTTCCTTTCCTTTTCTATTTGATCCACACGACTTTTTAATTCGCGCAACTAAATTTTCTGTTTAATTTATTCTTTTAAAAATAAATGATTAAATAATGATAGTAAAGGGTTTCAAATACTTTTTAATGTTTAGCTCCCCTATGATTCCTAACGGCGGTCACTAATTATCCGGAACCGAAAAAGACCGGATAACGGAAATCTTCGGTTTGGTTCCTGTCCTGGATAACCGAAGACGTCAACCTTAGTCACTAATAGATTCATAAAAATATTCCAGCTACAATATTTCTTCACAATCAAACTTTCTTTTATTAATTAAACATTTAATTAATTTTTTAACTTAAAATAATGGCTGGCATAATGGTCGAACTAACAATTTTACTTAAAATAAAAATAATTACTCTATTCATTTCATATCCTCCACCCCCAAATCTACTCTCTTCTGCTTTAATTTGTGCCTTTAGTCTCTCATTTTCTGCCTCCAATCGACTCAATTCTTCTTTTAAAGAATCTCTTTTTGCTTGAAGTTCCTTTTTAATTAAAAAAATATTTTTTAATTAAAAAAACAAACTCTCGATTTTGATCTAAATTCTTTTTTCTTTTCTTCAATATTAGACATTTTATCAATATTTTCATTAATTTCTGTTTGTTTTGTCTTCATAGAGGATAATTCTGAACATAAAAGTGCTTCGTTCTGTTTAAGAGTTATTAACTCTTCTTGGAGACGAACATGCACTTAATATATATTTTAATAAATTAAATAGAAAAATTTTTTAATTTTTGTTTTCCTCTACGAAGGATGTATCCAAGGGATCGTGGAGGAAAATTTTTGTTTATGGCTATAATGGAAAAGAATTATTTTATTACTGTCTAAACGAAGGGTTATTCGGATCCTTCTTTATTCTAACATTATCTCTATACAAATTAAAGCTCACAATCTTGTAATTCATTAGCACTAACAGCAGAACTACCCAATGCTAACAAAGATTCATCCAAGCCCGTAACATTCGTAACTATTTCTCCATGACGGCAATTTAACGAAATTAATTGTAATTGGCGAACAATTTGCTTTGAAAGAGCGGAAATTCTTCCCTCAATTTGTCTCTTAGATTCGTCAAAATTGTCCTTTTTGGAAAATTATTTTTATTTAAAATTATTAAGGAATTGGGTTTAAAGTAGAGCCTGACTTGATGATTTTTTCAATTTATGGATATTAAATCAAAAAATACCAAACAACCACTAAAGGCTCTGCATTTTTGGTTTCAGTATTGTTTTAGACATTTATTTTTTTGAATTCCTAGAAGGGTATAATAGACATATCTAAATAACGGAAACATCTTGGAGGCCTAGATAAATTCCAAGACTTGTTTATTTTATTAGTTAAAAATTTAATCCTTCACAAAAATCAACTCAAGCCGGCTTTTAAAATACACATTGGATCTTGCCAATTTATTTCAAAAAAATTACCAAAAAATTATCCATTTGTGTTCCTCTAGTTTTCAACTCTCTAAATTTTTCACTTTTATCACCTGCCAATAATTCAAATTCATTTTGGAATTCTTGAAGTTCTTCTTGTGCTTGTGCCATTCTTTCATTAATTTCTTGTAATTGTTCTTGCATATGCCCAATTTCTTTATTATCTTTTTGTATTTTTTGAATAAAATTATCTCTTTGTTCTTCTGGTGTTTGTTCTGATTGAAGTTCGGCAACTATTTGGGCACGTTTTTCTCTCATTTCTTGTAATTGTTCTTCCATCAACACTTTAATTTGGGATTTTTATATAAAATAAATTTAATATTTAATTGAATTAAAACAAGAATATCTAACTTTTGGGAGTCAAGAATGGATGAATTTTGACTATACCTAGATGGGGATTAAAATGATTGTTGACATTAGGGTAGCTCCCCGAGCCTTCGGGATCGGAAGTGTCGGGGATCGGTGTTTACATGGGAGGACATGTCGGGTTTCGGGGTCGGGTCCACTGACGCATTGTCCGGGAGCCGACATTATCAAGGTTGCATTTTCGGGGATTTTATTTTTCTAAAGAAGAATTCTAACGCAGAGGAAATTGAAAATAAAATATATTCAAAATTTCTTTACTTGTTTGACGTTTAAGAGGCGAATTAGCCAATGCCATATCCATTTCCTCTTTAGTTTTTGTTAATTCTGCCAATTCAGCCTTTTTTCTTTCCATTTCATTTCGTAAACTTTCTACCTCTGTATTTACTTGTTCAAATTCTTCTTTTACTTCAATCTCCTTAAGAAATTTTATTTAGTTCGTTTAATTTCAAATTATTTACAAGAACTCTCATCCTTTCATTATTTTCTGTCCTTAATCTCTCTGTTCGTTGTTCCAATTCTTGAAGTTGTTCTTCACGTAATCGACGTTCACGAAAAAGTTCTTCAACTTCAGCCATTAATTCTTAATTTAAGAAAATCTCTTAGTGGAATTCAAAAACTCTATACTTTGGTTAGCTAAAGCGGTTTGATCAGCCTCTGCTTCTAAAGAACGCAAATTTGTATCTGAATGAGTATTTTGACGGTCAATCACCTAAGTAAAAAGAATATTTTTAGATTTTATCATAATAGATTAGAATTAAATCAGGTTAGAATCATGAATTAAAATTCAAGTATTATAGGTAAGGTCAGTTATCTCATGAATTTTTTTTGCTAATTTAAAGATTGCATACCACAATAAATCATTAATTAAATAATTGTTATAATATTAACTCGAGAAATGTTTAAGAGTATTGCCACCTTCTCTCCTCAGTGATACAAATATATTTATAAACTTTAGGGATATTGCAGAGTAATTTGCAGATAATTTCAATGTTCTTGCCAAATTAAGGATTTTATATTTTCATAAAACATCTAATTTTTTACCTAATTAAAATAATATCTTTTACCAAATTATAATCAGCCAAAAGTCCTTGTAATTGTTTTAATTCCTGTGCTTGTTCCTCAGCTCTAAAATACATATATTATTAAAGTCTTTATATCCAAACCTCTGTTCATAAGCTAATAAATTCTCTCTTCCTTTTTCTGCTTTATCTAATTCTTCATTTAAATTTCCCAATTCAATCTCCAATGCATTCAATTTATTATGTAAAAGTCCAATATAATAATTAGCATCCGCTATCATTCTCCCTCCACCCATTGCTGCTAAAATTCAGATTTTTCTTCTTTTACAGGGTGCGGCAAATTCGCGCAACTTTTTGTTTTTAACATAACTTTCTTCATTTTTATCGAAAATTGATAATTTTTTTTTATTTTATACCTAGCACTTTAGGAAATTTATTGATAATAAAATCGCTTTTGAAATTTACAATTTAGTATGATTAATTTCCCGTCAAAATTTAGGGAAAATTTTTTTGATAAAAATTGGCCTGGAGTCGAGGGTATGATTTCGATATTTAAAATTTATATATCATTCGAATCAGCTCCTCAATCCGGTTCGAATGACGTAAAAATCATTCAGCTATCACATAGATGAACCGAGATACGGCTCACTGAATGATAAATTAAACAAATTTTGGCAAATATAAATTTTTTGAGTGAAATTTTCGAAAATGAGATTATTAACTATTTCGATACTCCTGAACGAGAGAAGTCGATTGGTACCAAAATTATTGGGATTGGATGATTTTGAACAAAGTTATGATCAATTAAAACTTTGACATGAAAAATGCATTTTTACCCGTTTTTATGTTTGAGCTCGTTTTCCTTTGCTATCCGAAAACAAAATGATTAGTATTTGGTACCAATAAATTTCCTAAAGTGTTAGGTATAAAATAAAAAAAGAATTATCAATTTTCGATAAGAATGAAGAAAGTTATGTTAAAAACAAAAAGTTGCGCGAATTTGCCGCACCCTGTAGATTTATTTCAACAAACTTCCCATTCTACTTCCCATTCTAGAAGCCATAGCAGCAGCTCTAGCCCCACTAACCCCTTGTTGAGTTATTGGACGTTGCTGGGCAGCAGCAGTTCCGAGGGGTAATTGATGGGCAATCATTTGACGAGACATTGTTCCTGGACGTGGCCCCATAGCTGTAGTAGAACGATTTAATGGACGATTACCCTTTTATTGCATAATTAAATTTTTTTGTAAAATTTTTAAATATACAAGAGCAGTTCCAGGTACACCAACACCTGCTGAAGTTCCAACTCTAGAGCCTACAATCATTAAGCTTGTTTACTTCTTGATTAGAGCTAATAACTTTTATTACCTGCTCTACTATAACCTCTTGGAGGAGCGGCTGAAACAATAGCATTTGCCACCATCCCAATTCTGCTTTGTGGACGTGCAACAGTTGATGGGGCTATAGCCATTTGTCTTGAAGGTGGAACTGGACCAAAGGAAGAAGCCGAAGAGGGAGGTCTTTCAGAATCTATAAGAGAAAATCATTCCTAAATTCTTAAATATATCCGAACTTCTTCCAGCCGTTTTTGGTCGTCGTTGTGCTGCTGTACTTGGACGAGCTGAAGGAGGTCTCTGCCTGTATTGATGGTCCATTTCTGCTTCAATTATTTAGATGAAAAAATAAATATGAAAATTCTAAGAAAAATAAAATCATAAAAATAACAAAAGCAAATTTTTATTAGCTTCAACATTGTTGCTTAGTAACCAAAATTTTTAGTTTATTAAAGTTTTCAAATAAAACTCTCTATAATTAAACAACTTTGGGTCCCATTTTATTATCATTTTATTATTTTAACACTAATTTTCCATTATTTCTTAAAATTGTGAAGGAGATCTCTGCCTATAATGTTGGTCAATTCATTTTTTTATCTTAACAAAAATTTTAGATTTTAAAGTGAATTTAAAATAAAAATAATTTCATAAAAATTTATCAACTTTTTGGAAAAGATTTTTATCTACTACATTATCGTTTAAATTTATTTTTCTTCTTCATCATTATCATCATCCTCTTCTGGTTCAATCGTTGTAGAATTTCCAAAATTATTCTCTAAAATTTCCTCATCTTCCAATTTCAAACTGGGCAAAGTTGTTCCTTCATTATGCCCGTTAAAAGGATGAAAACAGTTGGGAGGAGGGGGTCCAGGAATGACAGATTGAGGGGCAGGCACAAGACAACGAAGTGGGGGATCAGCAGCCTCTAACAATTGATGTATCTGTTGGCATTCCTCAGTGCGTGTTATTCCCATATTTTGGCGAATATCCTGAAAGTAATATTTAGCAAAAGGAGATATTCCTATAATAAAGCAGTCAAACCCATCCCAGAAAATGATACAAGATTCGATAGGATTGATCCGCTTATCTTACTACCGAATATATTAGGAACTGGAATTTGCCTTTACTAAAATCTCAACGGTTATAATAAAATATTCCTTTTAAGATCCAAGTCTTTTACCCAAAGTTTGTTGTACAAAGTCAATGCTGATCCAGCCAGCCATTTATTCAAATTATCATAAGAAGTTTTCATATGTTGTTGAACAGTTTGTGTGTAATTGTCATATTCTGTTTGTAACCCATTATCTTTAGCCCAACCAGTCAATTTTGTTTCAATTTGTTCTTTTGTAACATTTGAGGAAATTATTTGAAAGAATTGGCGACGTGCGGGAACAGAAACATTTCGAATTAATGCTGATGGAAATGGGTGATGACCGTGACCATGTGGTGGTGGTGGTGGATGGAAAGGAGCAAAAGAGAGAACGGAGAGTGGAAATAATATAAATAACAAGAAAATCATTTTAATTATCTAAAATTAATTAAAAATATAGTAATGCTAGGAGGGTAGGCTGATCTTTCGTATCTATAACTAAATGCAAATTTGGCCGAAGAGTGATTTTGATATCAATCACCTAATATTAAATAAAGTAAAAGCCCCATGTTTACAATGATTTTCATTTACAATGCCCCCAAGAGTGATTTTGACCCCATAAAAAAGCTCGATGATATACGTCGAATCAGTCAAAATAATTAAAAGCGTTGAAGCAGACCGGGCTTGAGCAGATTGGAGTGTATTCCATTCTGAGAAAGACTAAGTAGTTAAATAAAATTTTTATAAAATATTATTTTTTTGGAAAAATTATTAGATATAATTTTAAAAATAAATGGCCAATCTACATAAGTATTTGGCCATTAAATATACAGAATTTTATCAACACTAATATTATAGTCATCATTAAAAATAATCTAAATTTGTTAAAAATACGAGATTTAATTGGAAAAAGAGGATTAGAATATTAAATAAATAATTATGGAGAGGATATTTAGAAAATAATGAATAAAATTTTTATAAAATTTTTTTTAATTTGGATTTATAGAAAAGAATTCTTGAAAGTAGACAAATTAAACTTTAAGGACTGGCAAATGATTATATCTGGACTGGCAAATGATGACATTTATCTAATATTTTGGTGATTGATCTATACACTTAAAGCTGATTTGACTTATTGAAACAGACAACGCTTAATTCTTAATTAAGGATGGATCCAATTTTAGAAAAAGAAATTAACGAAGGAATCTCTTATTTTTAATTTTACATATTAACAAAAAATATATATAATTCATCCACTTTAATAATTGTTTTTAAATTTTTGTTTAATGCCATTTCCTTATGATCTTTGTGTAAAGAACATTTATTAAATTGAAATTTACAAAGTATCTTTTTGCCTTCTTTATAGTTTAAAATTTTTATTTTTTATATGAGAAATTTTCTTCAAATAATTATCAAAAAGGGGCACATTTTTGCCAAATAAAAATTTCGAATTTTTTCAATCATGTAGAAAATCTAAGCGTTAAATATACATATTTAATCACAATTTCTTTCAAAGTTTTATTTAGAGAGAATCCAAAATTAAATACCCCTTTATTCATCTTTAATTTTTTATTTAAAAAGGCCAAATTCCAAAATTTTTATTTTTAACAATTTATTTTTACTAATTTTCTTCCCTTAAATTAAAAAATTTGTGTATTTTAATTTTCAATTAAAAACTTAAGTACCTCTAAATAATTTAGTCAAGTGTGAAAAAAAGAGAAAATTTTTCTTTGAATAAATTCTTTGTTCATTTATTGTTTTCTATTTAAATAATGAAAATTGGGAAACATTGAAAATTCTTTTAAAGAATTTTTGATCGTTCTGGTACTCACAACTAAGGTTCTCGAAACTTTTCAAATATTTTTAAGGATTTTAAAAAATCCTTGAATTGATTTGAAGAAAGAGTTTAGCTTTAGCCACCGGGCAGGATTTGAACCTGTGACCTCCTTGTAATTATTGCTAGGCGCTTTCGATCACTACATACAGGAGCTCTATCACTGAGCTACCGGGGCATCGACTAATTCTCTTTTATCCTTTTAGATCGTTTAACCCCCCCCCCTTCCCTAAGCATTTTAAATGCTCTAGGTTAATCATCCTTACAATGATCATTGGGTTAATGAAAAAGCAAAGTTTATATTCATAATTAGCCCTATCTCTAATATATTTTTAGACATATTATTAATTCCAGACACTTTCAAGCATTTTCTTTTACCCTTTATTTACCAAATTTTATTCTTAATTTGTGTCAAAATTATTTTAAAAAACTTCCTCATAATTTATTATTTAATCTTAAAGTAATTGTATTTATTTGTTTTAAAAAGTCTTTTGGTTTCCTTAGAGCTTTTCTTATTTTATTTGAATGAGAACACTTTTATTTACTCAAGAAAAGCTTTTGACATTCGTCGCTAAGTAATAAATATTTAAATAATAAAGAAGTAAATTATTTAGAGGTGTTCTTTACTATTTTTGTGACTTTATTCTATTTAATCTTTCTTCTTATTTTGTTTGGTGTATTAAACGAGTACTAAATTTGTGATTTGTAGCCGAAATTGTGGCAAAAAAGAGGTGTGAACATTTTTGGATTCTTGAAACAAAAATGTTTTTAGTACAATTATGTAAATATATAAGGGATATTTTAAGTCGTGTTTAACTAATTTTTGTAATTATAGAATCCGTACCACGAGCGAGCGTCTTGCTTTATTTGCGTTAAATTTTCGCATTGCGTTGCCTGTTCCGCACTATAATTTTACAATAAGCGATTAGCATTATTATTTCTGAAGCTAAATTTCTGTTATTTTTAAGTAAATCTGGTTCCCTATTAAACTCCAATGCAATTTTTGGCCAGTATACACTATTGACCCTTGGCCAGTAAATAAAAGGAAGATAATCTGATAATTATTTTAAAATCAATTATTTTTTACCAAATTATTTTTCAAAAAACTAAAAATCTATTAATTTATTTAAATCTTACATCATTTAGCTAAATACAAGCGCAATCCTTATTGCAATCAAATAAGCGGATTGCATCATTTCCCCCCTTTACCTTTCATTCCCAACATTCCCCCATTGCTTCTGTTTTAAAAAAAGCTTTTTCTATAAAGCTAAAAACATTATATATTTATTTCAACATTCTCTTTTATCTAAGCATTATTAGAGAGCTGCTTTTCCTCATTCTGTCTTTCTCACTTGTCATTTTCCCATCAGCTATTTTTTGGCCAAATATTATCTTCTCTGTTTATTTATTTAAAGCTGTAAAAATATTAAATTACTTAATAATTTTAAATTTATTTAAATAAGAAATTTTATATTAATATTTTAGAGAAAAAATATTTAAAAATTCCTTCCTTCATTCCCTTTTTTAAATAATTATTTTTTAAATTTTCTCATTTATTCTATTAAAATTTAAATTATTTCGAATTTAATTTAGAAATTATTTTAATTAGTAGTCATTTTTCTCCCCAAAAATGACTCTTCCTCGAAAATCTTCCAATTCCTCTTCACTCTCTTCCAATTCAAAAGCTAAATGGTTACGTCAAAATGCTCTTTTAACTTTAACTATTGGGGCTGTATTTATCGGAGTTTTGGTTGGGTGTGTTGGTCGTTTGGGGGAACCTAGTGCTAATACTGCTAGATTTGTTGGATTTCCTGGAGAGGTGTTTTTTGATATTTTATTTCTAAAATTATACGTAGTATTCCACATTATCTCTCCTATTGAAATTTCTCTCAAATAAGTACCCCTTCTAATATTTAAAGAATAATAAAAGCAAGTTGGAAGAAAAAAATATTCCTTAAAAATTCCTTGAATATTAAAATTAAAAATTCTTTTAAAAACAAAAATATTTAAAAAGTTGTTAATGAGAATGCTTAAATGTGTTATCCTTCCACTCATTTCATCTTCTCTAATTACTGGTCTTGCACAACTTGATGTTCGTCAATCGGGTAGAATGGGGGCTTTGGCTATTTTATATTATTTGGCTACTACTGGAATTGCTGTTACTGTTAGTTTTTTATAGAAAAATTAATAATTTCGAGCTTGATAGACTTAATTTAGAAAAAAATTATTTTTCGTTAATATGTACACATATCTTTTGTCAAGAAAAATTATCTCAAAAATTAAATGAGTAGAAGTCATTAGAAAGAGTTCCATAATATAGAAAAGTTTTATGTAGAACAGAAGGGTGTTTAGTATAGAGCAGGGATCGCGCCGACAAAAAATCAAATTCCCGATTTTCGTGAATCGGGAATTCCCGAAAATTTCGGGAAATTTCGAAAAAAAACAACAAACTATATATACAACAAACTATTTTTGACAACAAACTATTTCACGATTTTCGTGAATCGTGAATTCACGAGCCAAAAATCATCGGGAATTCACGATTTTCGGGAATCGTGAATCGGGTCGGCGCGATCCCTGGTATAGAGTGTTAAATATTGTAAACAATAAATTAAAATTTGGCTTTTAAAATATTCTATGTCCTTTAAGGGTTTTACTAACAATTAATATATGTATTCATTTTTAAATAAAAAATTCCAGACAGGCATAATTCTTGTAATTGCAATACACCCAGGCAATCCTGCCCATTACCCTGGACAACAAACTACCAAAAATCAGCCAATTATAAGTATGGCAGATACTTTAATGGATTTAATTAGGTAAAATTTGAAAAAAAAGATTTTATAAAAAAATATTTACTTAAAGAAATATATTTCCCGATAATTTAATACAAGCAACAATGCAACAAACACAAACAAAAATTGAGAGAATTAATGGATCTGATGGAATTTTAATTGAAAAATATAAATTGGGGCATACTGATGGAATGAATATTTTAGGTATTTATTTAAATTAGTTTTAGGTATTTTAGAGGAAAAAGTAAAATTCTGAATAAAAGGTTATTTTAAAAATTGAAATTAGATATATTTTGAATAACCAATGTCTCATAAACTGTCAACAAATAATTTCGTAAATTCAATGGTCAGATCGTATTTAGGGTGGTCGATAACCTAAAGTACGTTTAAAAAATTTTCCGACTCGAAACAAGGCCATAATTTCCGAAATTTTTATGTTAATGCAAGCATAATATCTCTTGTAATCCATATATTATTTAATGTTGGCATATTAGTATAATCGAAATTTCTGTTTAAATACTAAATAAGTGGTATAATTAAGTGTTATAAATTAATTAATTTTCAGGTTTAATTGTTTTTTGCATTGCTTTTGGTATAGTATTGAGTCAATTAGGACCTAGAGGTCGTCCTATGGTTAGAATATTTTTTATTAATATTTTTATTCTTCTAAAATTTCTGTAGGTTGACTTTTTTGCAATTCTTGATTTGGTCAGTATGCGTTTAGTTTCTTTAATTATGTGGTTAGTTTAATTTAAAAATGATTTATTTAAAAATATTTTATATAAAGGTATTCACCAATTGGTATTTCTTCTTTAATTGCTAGTAAAATTCTTTCTGTTGAGAATCTCACTGACACAGCTAATAGTTTAGCAATGGTTGGTGTGTTAAATTTAAAATTTATTATTAAATAATTGAATAAAAATTAAAAGAATGGAATGCTAGTAAATGATCCTCTATTTTTATTGCTAGTTTCGTTTATAAGTAAATGGAAGGAGGGCTTATCCCCAATATCGCCTCCATTCTTAAATTCCAAAATTTACACTCCAAATAGTTTTACTTAATTTCAATTTTACTAATTTTATCCAAACTTCGAATTTAATTTTAAAAAATTATTTTGCCAATCAATTCATTCTCTAATTCTCTAAAAATTAATTTTTATTATTTTTTCCAGTATTGCTTAACAGTCATTATTGGTCTATCAATCCATTCACTCATCTCCCTTCCATTGCTTTATCTCTTCCTAACAGGCAAAAATCCTTTTGTTTTTGCCAAAGGTTTACTTCAAGCAATGGCTATTGCTTTCGGAACAGCCTCCTCTGCAGCTACATTACCCGCTACTTTTCGTTGTTTGGAACAGAATTTGGGCATTGACAAAAGAGTTACTCGTTTTGTTTTACCTGTTGGGGCAACAATTAATATGGTGAGGGGAATTGAAAAAGATTTTTTTAATTAAAAATTTAAAGGATGGAACAGCGTTATATGAAGCAGTTGCAACTATTTTTATAGCTCAAATGAATGGAATGGAACTCGGATTGGCTCGAATTGTTGTTGTTAGGTAATTAATTTGTTTTTAGAAATATATTGTTTATATTTTTATTTTTTAGTTTGACAGCTACATTAGCATCAATTGGAGCAGCCTCTGTCCCACATGGAGGTTTAGTAACTGTTGTAGTTGTTTTAACGGCTGTTGGATTGCCTGTTGGGGATGTTTCTTTAATTGTTGCCGTTGATTGGTTTATGTAAGGGAATTTTAGAAATTTTCTAGAAAATTTTGAATTTTTCAGTGATCGTTTCCGAACGGCAATTAATGTTCTCGGAGATGCTTATGGTGCTGCTATAGTCCATCACCATTCCAAGGAGTATTTGCCCGTTGAAGGAGATAATTTGTTGGATAAACAGGAAGGGGGAAGTGAATTAATGGCTTTACCAGAAAATGGACGGCTTTTGGCTGAAAAGGAAAGAATTGAAGAGAAAGGGAAATATTATTCACCTTTAAGTATTAGCCCGGCATAAAAATAAATTTTTAAAAATTATTCCGCCAAACTTTGCCAGTGAATATGAGCTTAAAATAACATTTCTCTGCATTTTTGCATTTGTTCCTATTTATCCGGTGTTTTTATAATTTTTATATTTTTTAATTTAAATTGCATAATTATTTTTTAAAGTGAATAAAAATTAATAAAAATTAAAAAGTTAAAAATATTTTTAGTTAGAAAGGACACAAAATAAAATTTAGATTCTATTATTTTATTAAAGAATCTTCTTCAAATAGCCCAGAAGTCTCGATTCAAAAATTAGAATAAGAAATAAATATATTATTTTGAAATTGTAAATTGTTAAAAACCAAGACGGAAACAGATGATTTACTTTTAATAAATATTCCTATTTTATATATTACTTTTCCCCGAGTCTTTCACCTTTTAAATTAAATTTATATAAATTTTTTGGAAAATGTTACGAAAATATAACGGGGCATTTATTTAAACTTAAAGGCATCTTGGAATTTTCTTCTTCCACAGCCGGACTTTTCCGGAGTCAAATAAATTTAACCTAAATATAACATCCTAAAAGCTCACGGGAATGTCTTAAAAGGAACAAAATATTTTCTTAATTTTTTAAATAAAATTTTCTAATATAAATTTTTAATATACTTAATACCCAATAATTTACTTTAATTTATAGAAACTCAAAATTTGGAAGTTTCTCCCTTTTAAAAGATAGTAAATGTCAAAAATCTGAAATCTAAATAAGATTTTCAAAGTCAAAGATAGATTTCCGGTCCCTCTGCTCGCAGTGTCCAACAAAATTAAAAAATCGTTAGCAGAGCCTATTCAAGGCAATCGAAGCGCTGGCAATTTATTTAAATATTAATGCCTTAGCATTTAAAATCTATATTTTCTTTAAAAGAATTTTTACATAAAAAAAATAAATTTATATAAATTAAAAAATAAATTAAATTTAAAAAAATATTTAAAATGTTAATTAATTTATTATTTTATTTTTTAATTATTTTTTGTCTTCAACTTGAATATAAAAATGCTATGAAAATTTTAATTGTTGCTCCAAATAAATATACTAGTCATTTTAATTTTCATAAAAGTATGGCTCTTTCTTTAGTTGCACAACAATGGGTGACAGATGTTGTAAGTTATTAGTAAAATATTTTATTAATTTATTTCTTTCTAATTTATATTCTATTTCAACCTTTTCTTCTGATCTAGGGAATTTTTTAAATTTTATTTGAAGATAAAATAAAAATTTAAAAAATTATTTTTACTTGTTGCACATAGCAAGCAGAGGAAGGTCGGGACAGTCAGAGGTGTCGGAAATCAGAAGTGCCGGAAATCGGAACTGGCTCATAAGTCGGAACTCGGAAGTCGGAACTCGAAATTTTTCTTCAGAAATCAGAAGGGAAAAAACGTCGGAAATCGGAACTCGGAATTCCGATCCACCTCTGGTACATAGTAAAAAAGCTGTAAAATTTCCTCAAATCCTCAATCTCTTTCAAACTCTGAAGATTAAAAAATTTTTTTTCAATTTAAATCCCAATATTAAACAATTTAAGACACTTCTTGTTGTTGAAGAAGATTCTAGAGATCGTGATCATAATTTGAGAGGAACCAATAAATTAAAAATTGTCTATTATCCAACATATAATGTACATGAACAAATTTCGAACATTGGTCACTTTTCTAACTATGCTGCAGCATATTGTTCATATACGTCGACACCTAATTTAAATTTAGAAATTCTAGATTCAATTCGTGGAGATTTAAAAAAATATTTTGGTAATTTTTGTTAAAATTATTTTTGGATGGAAGAGAGGAAAGGGGAAAGGGAGGTTTTGATTGAAAGAAAAAAGGGAATTCTAGTAACTATAATTAAATTAATTTTAATTTATAAATAATTTTTAAAAAATAAATTAAAGAAATTGCTAAAGACTATCATTTAATACAAGCACTCTGTCTCCAACAATATAATGTTTGTATAAATGAATTACGTTATTACCCACTTTATCCAATATTTCAATTAATTGGATGTAAACATATTGTGGCAACTTCAAATATGCCACTTGAATCTATTTATTATCATTATTTGGAATTACTTCCGGATATTATTCATAATGAAATTCCTGGTTTGTGTTTAAATTTAAATATTGAATGCTGTAATTAAAAAAAAATAAATTAAAGAAATTGCTAAAGATTAGTTTCTTTGGTTTCTTTTCTTTGGTTTCTTCGAGTTTTATGTCCTAACAAAACTAAAAAATGGGGAGATTTATTTATCTGTAACCACTTTATAAACAAAAAACTTGTTTAATTAATATCTCATTTAAATAATCTCTCCGAGTTAAATTTTAAAATAAAATAATTTTTTTAGTTGTATTGAAAATAAGAACGAAGAAACGACAAGAAGAGACTTCTTCTAGTAGTAATCCACATAAAATTGCAGTATCTCAAAGGAAAAAAGAAATTAAAAATTTTGTAATTTTTTGATTAAATTAATTATTTATTTTTTTTTGTTTTTTAGGATAAATTTTTTAAAAAAATCGGTGAAGAAATGGGAATTGAAGAGAATTATTTTAAAAATTTAATTAAATATGTTATTAAATTTATTTTTGTTAACACAAAATCTTTAATTGATTTTGAAGCAATGAGTAATATTTATCACGAAAAGATTATAAATATTGGAGGAATAGATATTCAACAAAATAATCAAACTTTAAACAGACAAGTTTAAAAATAATTTAAATAAAAAAATATTTTTTTTTAATTTAAGGAAACAAATATTTTTAATTTTGCTTCCCAAAATAATAGACAAATAATTCTTGTTAGTTTTGGAACAATGATTAATAGCCAATACTTGACAGACATACAAATATACATATAATTTAGTTGGAAATCTTTCTCAATTTAATTATTTATTTATTTGGGCAATTGAGGATGTTGATTATAAAATAAATAGTATATTATATAATTATAACAGAACAAATAATATTTTGGATGAAGATACTAATATATTTATATTTAATCGGGTAAATTAGAAAGCTATTCTTGGTATTTATTTTTAATAAATTTTAGAGACTGTTGATTTGCACTAAAATAATTTTTAATTAGGGTTGCCAAAATGAACCGCTCGGACCGAGAGATCGAGTCGGGCATAGGATATACTTGGCCCGAAAAAAATGACTCGACCGTCAGCCCGACTCGAAAACTGCAACCTTATTTTTAAATTAATTATTTTATTTTTTAAAAATTATATTTTAATTTTTATACATAGCACATCCCCTTACAATTCTTTTTATTTCTCATTGTGGAATAAATAGTACATTAGAAGCTGTAAAATATGGAAAACCATTACTTTGTGTTCCTTTTATGGCTGATCAATTCTATAATTCACAAGCTTTAGTCTCTCGTGGAGTTGTTGAAATTGTAGATAAAGACGATGACTTTGAAGATATTGGAGAGAGTATTGAAAGGAGGTATTTTTTGTTTTATTATATCCTCACTTCCCTTCTCTCTCACAATTCATTGAAGTATTATTTGGGATAATACTTTAAAAACTGAGTGGATTCTTTACTTAAGAATAGTGAAACGATTAAAAATATAAATAATTTAGAAAAGTTACGAATTAAAATAAATTTAAAAATAATTTCAGTTTACATCAAAACATGCATTATTTGAGTGAATTAATGAATGATATTAATCCAGTCCAAACATTTTTAGAAAAAATTGCAGAATTGTATGATTAAATTTATCATTATTTTTTAATGTTGGGAGTATTTTTTTTAATTTTTAGTTTAAAGTGTTGTTAGGTATTTAAATTTTATATTTCCTTTAAATTATTATTTATTTCTATTATGTACATTATTATTTAAATATTTTTATTTAATCTTATTATTTAAATAAAAATTACTTTATTAGAAGAAATATGATAATATAAATATGCTTCAAAAGAATATATAACGAATATTCTTGGGAGAAATACTGCATTTTTTCTGAATTGATAACAATATAAAAAACTTTACTTGTTTAATCGCCTGGAGCGCAACTTTTGAGTGCCTAAATTTCCGGCCACCGTTTAATCCAAAACTTGTTTAATCAAACATTTACATAAATATACCACAAATATTCTAATCGAACGACACCCTTTGAGGATTGAGGATTTACTTTGAGGATTAGCTCAATTTGGGGATTTCCAGAATATTACCCCATTTTAATAAAAACGAGATAACCTAAGAAGCTGAAATTTATCCGAGAAGACATTTTTGTAAAATAAGTTAAGAATCAAAATATTATAACGTTTATCTTACTAATTAGATGAAAGGGTTTTTAGAAAATTAAAAAGAAATTTTTTTTATCAAAATTAAAAAAAAACATTAAAGATTATAAATGACAATAATAATAGCAATAGCAGCTAAACCCGAAAAAAGCAATAAAGGTACAAGTAACCAAGCTAATAAACATTGAAATTTTGTCCACTTTTTTGTTTGTTTTTGTTCTTTAATTAATTTTCTTCTATTTTTTGAATTATTTAATAATTCTTTTTTTGATTGTTTTCCACATAATTTACCCCAAAAACTTCGTTGTTGCTTTAAAATTATAAGAATAGTAAATATTTTTTGTGAGAATTTTGGAATCAATTTTTATTTAAAAAATATTTTTTTTTAAATTTACCTCAATATTATCATTCCCAGTCCCCTCATCCACTCTCTGTAGTTGTTTGGATTCTACAACAACTAAAGGTTCTTCACTAGATTTGGCATCATATACTAATGTTGGGCAGTTAATATTTGATGGTTCTGGTATAAGCTCGTTTTTGGTTGGCTAAGAAAATTTTTTATTAAAGAAAAGCAATTTTGCTAAGAAATTAATTACCCACATTTAATTTTGGGTAAAAATGAAAGTTGTGGTTAAGATATACCTATTTTCTGATAAATATTTTTTAACGTCTATTATAAAAATCTAATAAAATTCAAAAACATTTACATTTAATGGACGTATCAAATCTTTAAGTATTTGATTAGTAACAACAATTGGAGGAGAAGAAGAAGTCATTTCTTTTATTTTTAATTCAACTTCTTCAATCTTCTTCTGATTTTCAGAATTATTATTAGCATTTAAAAGCCTTTGTTGTTGTTGTTTTAGAGCAACTGCAGCAGCTGATCTTTTAGCATTTCCAGACCATTGAGTACGTCTGGGAAGGTCTGAAGTGCTTCGAAATTGTTGGAGAGACTAAATAAAATAAATAAATTTTTTTGTTTATTTTTAATTTTAAAATATTATTTATTCTTTTAAATTTAAATTTCAATACTTGCTTTTCTCATATTTGTATTTCTCTCAAATGCACCAAGCGGTAAAGGTTGTAAACCCCTTTTTTGTTCTGTTTCAGTTCTATTTTGGATTGGATTTGTTGTTAAATTCTGTCCAATATTTGCTAAAATATTTAGGAAATTTTTATTTTTTTATCAACCAGAGATTAACATTTTCCAATTACAGTAAAACATGTATTAATTTCCCTCCCTCAAATAATTACCCCACCTCCATTAATTACACCATCCAGCGATGATTAAAACAATAATCATCCAAACAGATGTGCTAAAACACGTTCAAATTTCAAATCTCGTATAATCACCCTCCCTCGATTAATTATTCCCTCCAGAGGAAGGACAAACAATAATTACTCAGGGTGTTTATTAAGGCATATACGGTTTTATTTTCCGATTTTTAATTTCTTCCTTCACTTCACATAAAATAAAATTCCATACCATTTATTTTTAACTCATTCATTGATGTTTGTTGAACTTTATTTGGAGGTGGAACAGGTCTTCGAATACGGGCAGAAGCCCCAGCACTGTGCCTTCTTTTAGGCGGTTCTGTAACGTTTTTGCTTTCCTTCTCAAATAATTTTATTTTTCCTTTTCCAAATTCTTCATTTTTACTTATTTCTTTATCTTCATCCAATCCAATTGTGTTTAAATTAGTTTCACTACGAAGCCGAACTTCGCGAGCATAATAAAGACGATATTCGTGACGAAGCGGGTCGAATAAATAATAACTTTAATAGAAATAATAAGTTAAACACAATTAGTTTAACTAAGAAACATTTAAATGCCCACGTAATGAATTCATTGATATGGGGGGGGGGGCAAAACGCAATTATGGAGAGGTGGATTACTTAAGCCAGATTATCAAATGGCAAATTCCCAAAATATCATTCAAAATTACCGTTTATTCTCAACTATTCCTTCCTCCAACATCCCTCCATCTTCTTCATTTCCCTCATCTTCCTTCTCTTTCGGCAAAAGACATTCTCGACTTAATCTAGATTCAGCAATTATTTCTTTTTGGCTTGTTTCAGGTCCCGCAGAGAGAATTTCCGTTTCTTTTATAATTTTCTCAAAATCCCTTTCACACACAATTCTTTCTAATATTGGAACTGAAAGTCCAATTCTTCTTTTATTTGTAAAATTCCGCGCACCTGCTGTTTTCTTTGGTGGTCTAGGCGGTGCTTGATTATATGAAGAATCTTTAAATTAATTATTAAATATTAATTTATTAAAGTAATTTTATCGTTTTTTGTCCAAGAAGTTTGGATACACAACTAAGAAAGTGGGACAAAAAATATGTAAGAAATACAAAGTTATTCCTAGAAAATACAAACTGAATTTTTCTGTTAAATACTACTTTAATAATTTATTTCAATATTAAATCCTTGCACAATTACATAATAATTTTAGAAATACTTTATAATTAAAAAAGTAAAGCAGCTAGGCTATAGCTATTTCTCTCCTTTAGCTAGAGCGAAAAGTTAATCGGCGGCTGGGAGCGAACCAGCATCTTCAGTAGATTTTACCATTACACCACGTAACCTACTGCACCGCCTTTAGAATTAAATAACTACATATATGCTTGACAAAATAAATATTTGTATGTCAAAAATCTTTACTTATTTAATATTTCCCAATTCCAAAAATACCTGTGTTAGGTTTAGAATTTAATGATGGTTGAGGAGACGGTAGAGGAACAATCCTTGGAAGCGGAATTGGAGGTTTTGGAGAAGAAAATAAATTATTTGGTGGTGGACTTTGCATTGAATCTGAAGCTGTGCCAATTGCTGAATCAGCAGGGGAATTTGGTTGGCTATTTGGTGAAGTTTTTGTGGAAGAATACCCAAACAAAGAAGATTGTTTGGAAGAAGACATTTGTAAATTATGGGAAGAGGAAAAAGTTTCTGCCATTTTTCTTGTATTTTAATTAAAATAAAATTAATGTTGATTTTTATTTAATTATTTTAATAAATAAATTTTTGATTTATTTTTATTAAAATAAAAATTTTATAATAATTAATTAATTAATAAATAGAAGTAATTCACAGGTAAAAAATATGCTTATTGGAGATACATAAAATAAGAATTGAAAATATTTTTGAATGATTTTTGACAACTTTTTCATCAAATTCAACTTATAGCCCTGTTCCTATTTAATGATTTATCGGCATCTGAAAAAATTTTTCTCAAAAATATTCTTATCTGCTTAAGTTTAATATCAAATAATATTTAATTTAATATTATTTATGTATTGGATTATTGTTTTATTATCAAAACTTCGAAAATAGAATTTTGATTTAATAAAAGGTAAATAAATTAACTTCATTAGCTAAATCGATCGCCAGCTGAAAACTTTTTTAACATTTAATTTCTGTGGCCGTCATTTTTTGTTGACTAAAAATAGTAAATGACAAACAATAAACCAGTGGTATTTTATTTATTTTATTTCGATTAAGGCAAAACCACAAAAAAATAAATCGACAAAAATGTGTACATAAATGGCGAGAAAATGTGGGAAGCTAAAAAAGGTGGAGAAGGAGGAGGAAATAATGAGTGAGAAGGAAAATTAAAGTAAATAAATACTTTTTAATAGAGTAAAGAAATCTCCGTGCTTTTAAGTCTGCCAATAGCGCAACCAAAATATACATAAATAAAAAAGCTTTCACATTATTTTTATTGCTTTAAGTCAATGCAATATTTTGCTAAAATAAATAAACAATTTAGGTATATGAACATATAAATAGCAAAGGTGGAGATGGACTTAACTTTCGGCTTCAGATTTTCGATTTTTACTGTTTTAAAGTGCGGGCTATTTAGAAAACTTAAGTAAATTTATGGAATCAAGTGTTATGCTTTTTACAGAATAAAAACCTCCAAATAAATCACTAAATCTAAAGCAAATATAGTAATGTTCAAGATTTAAAGATTTCAAGATTCCTTCTTCAGGCGCTCAGACATTTCTATAATTTTCTCGATAAATTTAATTTAAAAATCCTTCGCCGCGCAATGAATTGACAGATAGCTAAAAAGCCCTGTAAAATTCTTTTTAACGTTTTTCAATGACCAATGCATAAGCTAAATATAACTACAAATATTTACAATAAAATAGCCCCAACAAAAATAAAAGCAAATATTGACGTTATGGTTGGTGTGAATGTTTAAAGGAAAAGCAAATATTTGGGAGAAGTGAGAGAAATGCTTTAATAATTCTTTTTTTGTTAAAAGATTTGTTGGTCAAGCGTAGAGTTTGTGACATCTAAAGAATTTTTATATATCTTAAGTTTGAAATGTTGAAATCGATTGAAGCAGGAGAAATTACGGCTATGATTGATGAAAAATAATAAATAATTTTTAGATAATATAAAATGTTATAATGAACTAATAATTTAAATATTCACGATTGTTTAATAAGTCGAAAAGAAAAATATTAGGAAAAATGAGAAAAGCTACTTATCAATAATTAAAGAAAATAATAAAATGTAACATATATTAATTTTTATCATTCTTTTTTACTTTTTTTGTAAGATTATTTTAAATATTTATAAAGTAAAATAAAAAACGATATTAAAAATAATTATTCTAGAAAATTTTTAACTTTAAAAATAAAAATAGTTTTTTGTTTTTATTACTCTTTTTATGTGTTTTTCGCAGTAAAATAAAAAAGATTGAAATATTTTGTCCAAATTTTACCTTTAAAAGAGAATCATAAGGACATAAAATGCGCAAAAAAAATAAATTACTTTTGTGGGAACACAAGAGCAGAACAGAAAATTAATCTTTAATAAATTAAAAGAATATATTAAAGATTATTTAGGGAGTATATAATTAGCAGGGTGGTTGTAAGGATTTAAATAAAAATGATGTTTTAGTTGATTACTAACAAAGTTCGGGAATACATTATGTAATTAAAAAAGGAAAGAAAATTGAATGGAATTAGCGCGTAAAAAGCCGATTTGTCAGTAGCTAAATTAATGAATTTTTTGTTTTGATTAAAAGGTAAAAACTTACAACAAAGGATTAACTATTTTTATCTCAAAAATTTTTTAATCTTGTCAACATTTTTAGTGAATAATTTGTTTGCTCAAAGGCTAGATGATTGGAATATACTACAAATCCTTAAATTTAGCAATCCTCTGAGAAGGTAATGAATATTAGATACGCTGGCCACTTTATAGAGATACAATGGAAGTGTTGATGGAATACATATATTAGAGATCGAGCTGGGTCTGGACCAAGGCCTGGGTTTTTCATGTACCCAGAGTTCAGGCCCAGGCATTTATTGACGTCAATAAATCAAACTCAGAGTCCAGGAACAGGCTCAGGTCTAATGTATATTATTCTATTATCTAAATAAATATTAGCAATTAAAAAGTCAATTTAACGTTGGAAAATACAAAGAATAAAATTTTAAATATTTAAATGACATAATTGGTAAAAAATTCAAAATTTAAAATAATCTCTAGTCTCTATTAAATAATTTTTTTTCACAAACTTTTTACCTCAAATGAGCGAGATTTTGAGAGAGTAAAGGTTGTTTTACAAAAATGTTTTGACTATAAAAATTGAATTGAGGACAAGGCTACTCTCTCTCAACTACTTTAAATATATTTTGAATGGTGTGAAGAGGATTTGCGCGAATTGAGTGAATGAATGGATGGACATTAATGATGACATCAAACAAAAATAATTTTAAATAAATAAATATATTCTCTCTCTTTTTCTGATTTTTATTCCTTTTTATATCCTCATAATGTGAATGAACATTTTCTTTATAAAAATGAACAAAATAATGAATAGATTAAGTACTTTTTGGGAATTTCGGGAGAAAAGGCAATTACTAATTACTAATATATACAAAGGAAGATTTTATTTTATATATTTGTTTTGGAAAAAAATTATGAGGAGAAAATAAATAAATTATATAAGTAGAAAAATTATTTAAAATAGAAAAAAATTCTAGATTAGCAAATATAGTAAAGCAGAGCCGGGATATATGTAGCTATTTCTCTTCTTCAGCTAGTAAAATGGGAGCGCTCCAGCATCTTTAACTAATCGGGCTTTAGGAATTACATAAATAGCTTTCCTGCATAGCTTCAGGAATTGAATAGCTAATATGTATTATCAATTCCTGATATAGTATGATAGTAGCTCTCTCCTAACAATGGGTTTAGCTAATATCATTTCATATACATAAAACCAAGTCCTTAATTAAGTTAATCACGACACATTACCAACACTTCCTCAAAAACAAGAAAACAACTTTCTGAAGAGAAAAATAGCTTTAACTTTAAAGTATCTTTAAAATTTAAAAATTATTTTTCCATCATTATTTTTATATAATTAACAGCAATTTAAGTACTTTTAGCAAGTTTTATTTCTATGTAAATAGTAACAATTGTTTATTCTCCTCTAGCAAGTTGCAGTTCGCCCCAAACAAAGAAATAGGTAACTGCAACCTATTAGAATAATTTTTTTATTTAAAGTTTTGCTTGAAAAAGTAAAACAAAAAAAAATATTTTTATGTGAGATTTTATTTATAGTCACGGTAATAAAATATAAGAAAATTAAGAAAAAAGAAAAATAAATAAAAATGAAATGCTTCGAATCAAAAAAGAAAAATTAATTAGGAAAGGGAAAAACAAGTAAAAAAATTAAGGAGAAAAATAGGAAAGTTTTAAATGAAATAATTAATTAAATGGATTTATTTTAAAAACTTAAAAATAAATAGGCAAATTTAATAAAAATTAAAGAAAAATATTTATAAAAATAAAATCTGTTAAAATAATTATTGCATGATATTTAGTAATAGAAAGATTTTTGGAAATGTTTAAAATAATTTGGAGATAAAATTAATTAATTTTGGATAACCCTCGATTAGAAAAATATTTTAAATTGAAATTTTAAAAATTATAGTATTGTTATATTATTCAAAAAATTATAGCAGAGTCAAAAACCTAGGCTTTCCAAGATCCGTGATTGAAACCCCCCAAGAATAAATGCATTCCAAATATAATTATTATTTATCTGATCTGAATAAATTTATGAAAAAGGTTAATAATTATAAATTTAATATAAAATAATCTTCAATAATTTAATTTTCATCTATTAACTAATTGCATTACTTGTCTAACAAGCATTTCCATATCAGCAAGGACTTGACGGTCGCTTGGGGGAGATGTTGTGGGTGTTTGTGAAGGTGGGATATTTGTCGATGTTTGGCGATTTCCAATAGATTTATTAATGGAAGGGGAGGTAGATGGTGTTGAAATAAAAGTTCTTAGCTGCCGAATACCTGCCTCCATTCGGCTTAATAATTCTCTAAAAAATTTAAGAAAGTTTAGGTGAAATTTGGCAATTATTGGTGGGAATAGAAGTTTGTATTAAGTTTATAAAATATTTAAATGAGCGCTTAAGTGAAATTTAACGAAATGACCAAAAAAATTCTGATTTAAATGTAGTCCTGAAGATTCTCAAAATAGTCGAGTAATTTTTTAAGAATTTTATAATGCGTTTTGAGTTACGTTAAAATATTAAAAAAGTCACCTAAATTTAAATTTGGAATGTGGAGAAATATTTTCTGCATAAATTGTGCATGTGTGATGAAATTGTTGTAATAAATCACTAATACGAATTAAGTGATCAGCACCGCCACCTTCCCCTTCTTTTGGCTGTTGTTGCCCAATAGCTCTGATAAGAAATGCTACTGTTCCAGCTGTTGGTTTTCGATTAACTTCTTGCATAAATACTGAGGAGAAAAATTACTATTTTTAAATTTTATATACTCTTTATTTTAATGGAATTTTGAGCTAAATTTTAAGGCACCGAAAAAGAGTTATTTTTTTAGCATCAGAAATCTTTAATTTTATCATCATAAGGGGCGGGGGGGGGGGGGTTAAATTAACTATTTTAAACAACTAAATAAAATTCTTCTTATATTTTTTAAAAATTAAAAACCATTTAATTGTCTGTGTAATTCATTAAGATAATCCTTGCTAACGGGAGGTGTTTGCTGTTGTTGTCCATTATCTTCGGGTACAGGAACTTGATGATGTTCTTTTGATGATAAAAGAGAGGGAGAAGATTCTCTGGGAAGTCTAGGAGAGTTTTCATTATCACCCAAAAATATATTTAAATGCCTTTGAATTGTTGAAGAAGCAGAATTGCGTTCAGATTGAGGTGTTAATTGATTATCTTCAGAGGGCATTGAAGGATCTGAACGCCTAATTGCCGGTATTTGTTGAATATCTCTTTCAGGTGATGGCAGTTTTGGTTGGGCAACAGTAACACATTTGGGTTTGACACAGGCTTGGGATATTTTATCATCATTTGGTTTTTCAGGCCTTTGAAGTGTAGAAAATGGACGGAATTTAACAGGAGAAGCGACTGAATAATCTTTTTCGTCTTTTTTGGTGTTTAAAGAAGTTTTTGAAACTTCAACTTTATTTGTTTCGGTAGTTAATTCTGCTGTTTTCTCATCCGTTGCATTCAAATTATCGCTAATTTCGAGTTTTTGAGGACGATTAAAAGTAACAGAAGAAGTTAAATAAACTCCTTCAAGTTTACTAGAATTATCCTCTTCTTTCTTAGTCTCTTGAACTCCTTCAGATATTGCTTGCATTGAGAAAGGACGGTGATGTTGAAGGGGGGTTACTTTTTGAGTGACTAAATGACGCATTTTGGGAGGTGGTTCGGTGTTAATTTTTTTGTTGCTTTGTTGTTGGATTTGTTGTTGTTTTGAAATTTCGTTGATTTTTTGACTAAAATTTTAAAAATATTAAAATCAACTACTTAAAACTAATTCTAAATATTTCCCAAAATCCCTACCAACCTTTCATTTTCAATTTTTATTCTAGCAATTTTTGTATCCAAATTACTTTCCCCTAGTTCTTCGCTTTGTTCAGCTAAATTTCCCTCAATTCCTTCCGGTGTATCATCCTCCTCTTCCGCAGTAACTCTCTGTACATGGCGCAATTGTTTAATTTTTGCATGAAGTTCGTTATCTTCCTTTACTTCATCAATATTTTGAAGTGAAGAACCAGAAGTAGCTAAATAATAAGAGATTTATGTGTCATCCCTATATTATAACTAGGTATATTTGTTAGATGTATATTCTTATAGTGATATACATATTTAGTGTAAAAATATTTTGTGGGCAAGGAGATATCTTATTACTTAAGATAATAGCACAAAACCAAGGATCGTTTCGATTTAGTTAAAATAAATTCCGGGATTTTCTGATCCTATAGGAAAGGCACCTAAAATTCTTAATTTACTCACTTGCATTCGAACTTTCGAATTTTGATTTTTGATTACTCTTTAAACAAGATTCAGCTGCTGGATCTACTGAACGCCTTGGTTTAGGTTCTGGTCTAACCAATCTAGAACTATTCGGTTCGTCTGTCTGTTGATTATTAGATGTTGATTGAACAGCACTAGTCTCTGATGTAGTTTTCTTCAATCTCATTTTTAAGTGTTGTAGAGGAAGCTTAGAAGTCTGATTATTATCTTCCTCTTTCTCTTCCTTTAATGGCTTTTTTAATTTATCGTCTTCCTTTTCTTGTCCATTCTTTTCTTCATTCTTTTCGAAAGGCTCAGGAAATTTCAATTCAGACCCGCTTCTTTTAACTGTTGTATCCAAAGAAAACCCTCTAGGCAATGTCCCAGTTCCACTTAAATTCAATTTTGTTAAATTTTTGCCAGATCTAGGCCCTTCTTCCTTTTGAACGAATTGAACTGTTGGAAGTCTAGCAAATAATTTTTGATTTTTATTTGAAGGCATTGATGGTTTGGCAAATGTTTTGGATGATAAAGATTGTGGGGGTTCGGTAGTTAGTTGAATAATATTTGGAGAATGATGAAATATTGTTGGGGAAGGACCTCCAACCTAGAAATTAAGAATTTAATCTTGATTGGAAGGGATTTTTGAGAATTGTTATAATTAGTTAACGCAATATAATTTAAAATTTACCATCTGAGCAGGTTCCGATGGCCGAAAGGTGGAGAAACTTGTCCGTTCTAATTGTGCCCCCATAGAAGGCCTTTTTCTTCGATCAGGACGTGGAGGTGGTGGTGGGGGTTCTGGAGATGAGGAACGTGCTTGTCTTTGTTGCGAGGCACGGCAGCCCATAGATACTGTTCTGTCTCGCAAAAGATGATGGGCATGAGAGGCTGCACTACTTGATGGAATTGAAGTACTAGGTATACGAGGAGATATGATGCCAAGAGGGTCAGAAATTCTTAAAAATGAATAAAACTTAAGTTAGTTTGGAGTGAAACAGCTTATGTAAAGTTATAAAGAGAAGAATTGTTCAGTAAAGTATCATGATCAATGTATTAGATATAATAAATCCCTTGTTACAAAAATTATTTCTCCTTACTTAGCCTGATCTGATGAACATGCCCCCGCCATTTCACGTTGTTTTGCTTCTCTCTTTTTAGCAACTGAAGCAGCTACAAAAGCAAGTTGTTGATTTGTTGCTTGTAATGAAGAGGTTGTTTGTAGAGAAGGGCAAAAAGAAGAGGATGAATGACAAGGGATATCCAATTCTTCACCTCTCTCTGGCGAGAAAATTAAATTAGTATTTTCAGCAATAGGTGTAGTTTCGCCTTTTTCAGATTGCAAAAGAGAATAAAGGCTTTTATGTAAATTATGAAAACGGGGTCTATCTGAAGGGGACCATTGCCAACATTGAAGCATTAAACGATGAACGGAATCTGGGCAATCAGTTGGTCGTTCCAAACGAAAATCTATGTAAATATTTTAAATGTTTTTGAAATCGAAAAATCAAGAACTTTTTTCAAGAAGGCCAATAACACTCCCTAATTCAACGCCTGGATAAGGTGCCATTCCATAACTAAAAATCTCCCATAGAAGAACGCCAAATGCCCAAACATCAGATTTTGTACTAAAAGTGTTATATGCCAATCCTTCTGGCGCTGTCCCTAAAATATTTTTTAAATATAAAAATATTTTTAATTAAAAATTTTTTCACATTTTATCGGGAATTTAGCCCCAGCATGTGCTGTATAGGTATCATCAGTCATAAACCTAGCAAGACCAAAGTCGGCAACTTTGACAACAAAATCATCATTTATTAGGCAATTTCTAGCAGCCAAATCTCTTAAATTTGAATAAACTTTTGACTTTTAATTGTTTTCTCGGATTGCTAGTCAAGATAAGATGTTCATTAAGAGAACATGTCAGATATAAGGAAACTTAAATAGAAGGAATATTAGCCAGAGTCAAATGAAAAGCAACAGCAAGTGTTAATTTTAAAATTAATCTTCTACCTATGAATAAAATTTCTAGATTCTAAATAAGCCATTCCAGCAGCTACTTGTGTTGACATATGCAAAAGTTTCTCACAAGGAAGATCTTCCTTTTCACTTTGCCGAAGAAAATCTAAAAGATTTCCGCGTGACATAAAATCACAAATAATAAAATAGGGAGCTTCTCTAGTGCAAACTCCAAGTAATTCAACTAAATTTTCATGATGTAATTCCTTCAATATTGCTGCTTCGGCTAAAAAGTCTGGTAATGCCATTTGGTCTTCCTGGAAATTCTAGATATTTTTAGAAAGATGAAAACACAAAAACCTTTAAAGATTTAACCGCAACAGTTCGATTAAAAGGTAACCATAAAGCTTCATAAACATCCCCGTATTGTCCCATTCCAAGCTTCTTCTTCATTACAATTTGTTCTCTATCTACTTCCCATTCATCAGGTTGTGTGGGGGATAAAGAGAAAAGGCTGCTTGGATGGCCTGAGCCAATGTTAGTTTGTCGTTTATTAACTGGATATTGAAGGGCACCGAAAAATGAAATTATAATATTTTGTAGATATTCAAAGCTTATTAAAAATAAATCCTAATATGAAAATCAACGAAAAATATTTTAATAGTTTTTTAGTTTGACTGTTTTTATTAATTAATTCAAAAATTCTTAAGTCCCAAAATCCATTAGAAGCAGTGACATAAGTTAATTTATAACAAAAACTCTAATAAAAAGACGCTAAACATATAAGGCACTTGACATTTCCTATGGAAGTAACTCTCGGAACAAAGAAATGTATGATTTATTAACAAAATAATAATTATTTTATTTATTTTTGGTTATTAATTCCTTACAAATTAATCCAGAAGCGGCCACCGAATGATGATGAATTAATTCTCCAAGTGTTTTAAATTTTGCTGTATCAGTAATAAATAACTAAAAACAATTAAATTTAAAAAATTTTTTAAATCTCTCCAAACCCTCAAATTTTCATCACAATTAATTCTGTAATGGTAAACTGTCCCCTCATGCCGAAGTGAAATAGAAAACTGTCCAGGATTAGTCTCCGATTCTCTAACTAGAAAAGATCCATTAATTCCAGAACTTAAAAGTTGTTCAGCTCCAATTCTTGTTATTTTGCCGTGATACCAACTAAAATTAAAGAAAATTTTTTTCTGAAACTTAAAACTGGGAATTTTTAATGAGAAAAGTAATGACTGAAAATAGCTGTGATGGCCAAAGATAATCTTTTTTTTTGATTATGTTTTTAATTGGCCACAATTTCCTATCAAATTTTTCAAAATAAATTCACAGATTGCTATTTAGATATTACTTCTATTTTTACCTCTGTTATTTGTTATGCCTAACAAGAATTTTAGGATAACCCGTACGTGTACTACATATGAGGAAAAAAATGTGGTACAGAATACGAGCAAAATTAAATTTCAATTGTTGGTTTAAGATATTCTAACTAATTTAACACCTAAAAGACCTTACTATCAAATATCCAAAAATAATTACATATCTACTTAAAAAACCTGTGTTTGTCCATAGAATTAGAGGGGGCAATGTAAATACTGGGTACCCAACCAATTTGTTGCCCATAATTTCCTCCAGAATTTACAGACGATCCGATAGAAGAACACGAAGAACTACAACAGCCAGTACCCCCAACAACCCCTCCTAAACTTGAAAGACTTGGACTGCCTAATTTGGCAAAATTATTTTGTTGTTGTTGTTGTCTATTAATTAATTTAACTTCACACCATTCTTTTGTTTTATTATATCCAATTACTTTTACCTTTAAAATGTATTTTTTAAAGAATGTTTTTAAAAAATTTTATTAAATTTAACTTCTACATATTAACAGATTAAAATTTTTCTTTTAATTAAAAATTATCAGAAACCAAAAAATAACAAATTTTTGAAATTAATTTTTAATAAATAGGCTAATTATTTTATTAAACGATTTTTTTACATTTTTTGTTAATACGAGATTTATTAATTTAGTTATTAATTGCTGCATTCGCATAAGCAAATAAATAAATTAAAAAAAAATATCTTTTTCCCAAAATATAAAAATAAATAAATAAATGATAAACTCTTGACCTTCCAATTTTATAAAAGGTTTACTGAGTTTTCCCGACTAAATATTTACCCAAAACCCCTTATCATATATTTTGTTATTCACTTTTATATAATTAATTTTTGACCTAGCTATTCTCAATAACAATTTATGTTTGTGTAAGAATCCCTATAAATACTCCCCCGCAATTTAACTCTTTAACTTATTTTGAATTCAATATAAAATAATTATAAACTTTTAACGCTCTGAATAAATATTTGTTTTCTGAACTGAACTATAGTTATTTCCAAGGCTGAACCGATTGATAGTGAACTGAACCTAGTTCATTTGGTGCCACTTAATCCGGGTAAAAGCCTTGAGAGAAAAAGAATTTGTTTGAAGGATATTTTAATCCTGAAAAGAGCTAGTTTAGTAGAGTATTGAGAGAAATTGTGGGAGGAAAATACCCCACGTAATTAATTAGCTAAAAAACGAGGTAGACTGCTTGGTGCTCTATCCTCCTGCTTGGTGCAACGGTTAAAGTAGAGGAAATTGCTGGGTGCAATCCTCAGTTTAAAAAAAAAAGAGGAACTGGATTTTCCACTCTCAGAAAAGCTCTATAAAGGATTTCCTGCCCCTGAAAACATTTTCTGGAGTATCTTAGAAATGGATAAAAATCAGACACAGACAACAGGATCAGATTTTGCGAATAAATTTTTTACGCCTGAAGAAGGTCGTCATTGGAATAACTTATTATTTCGATTACGGAGCTTTGAAGAGGCCGTATGTAAAAATTTCCGTAAAATCGAGTCGAAAATTACTGAAGGACAAAATTTGCCATCAAATTCGTCCTCATCTGAAATTGGTAAAATAAACGCTGTAATAGATGGAAAATTTGAAAAACTAGAAAATCAATTTAGAAATTTAAAACAAATTGTAAAAGAAGAAATATCGAATTTTGTAGTTGATAATGAAGTAAATAAAACTAAACTTCAAGAAATTGAAAATAAATTAGATGATAAAGAATTAAAAGATGAATTAGTCTTTTTGCGCTCTAAGAATATGGAATTAGAAAAGGAACAGATTTTGCAAATCCAACGCCTAAACATCCTAGAGGAAGGGATGGAAAAAGTTGAGAATAATTTAACTAAAAGTGAGCAAAAAATCGCAGAAATTATTACTAAAAATGCGCGTAAATTAATTGATAAAATTGAAAGTCTTGAAGCAAAAGTAGAGGTTTTAGAAAATGGATCTCGAGGGTCCGGATTTTCTTGGAACGGTCACGGAAGTAATGAATTGGTTGACCTAAATCTCAAGACTAAACCTCCTGAAAAAACGTCAGAAGCAGCTGAGAAACCCATTACTGGAGAAAATGTTGAAATTATGATTGGAGACCCATTCTTAAACGGTCTAATGACCCCGGTCGGAGTCTATGATGGTAACCCGACTAGTTCATTCTCAAAATTTTTCCAGCGATTTATGGATGCTCTGAATTTAATAATTACGCCCCTTAATGAAGCACAAAAGCTAAGTCGTCTAAAAGTTTGCCTGGGAGGTCGCGCTCGCGCCGAACTTGACGCTAAAGTACCACAACCAACCACACTGCAAGAAGCTATAGATTTCCTGCAAGAAAAATTTGTAAATGGTCATTCTCGTACTGTAGCTAGGCAAGCCCTATCTATAATAAAACAAGCGCCTGGAGAAAGAGTTTTTGAATTCGCACAGCGTTTAAATGACGCAGTACGTGCTGTAATGATTGGATATGAAGAAAATACAATACAGCAGCGATTGCTAGATGAATTTTTAGATAGGCTTTTGCCAGATCTTCAATTCGAAGTTAAAGCTGCTAGACCTGATGACTATTCTAAGGCATTTGAAGTTGCCGAACATTTTGAATTATTATTGAACGAAAAACGCCAAAAATATCAAAATAACCAATACGTTGATTTGGCAGAAAAAGTAGAAGCCCTAGCAATTAATCGGTCTAGAGAGACAAGACGCTTATGCTATTACTGCCATAAACCTGGACACGTTATAGCAGATTGCCGAAATAGAGCAAGAAAAAACTATAAAGCTCGCCAATATAATAATTATGAGCGAAGAAATTATCAAAATAATTATTGGGAAAACAGAAATAATTATAGAAATGAATATAATAGAGATAACCGCAGATATAATGATAGAAATCGCGAAAATTATAGAGAAAATTCACCAAATAATTATAGCCGGTCACCCACAAGAAAAGTGAGATTCAGTGAAAGCCGAGTTGCAAGTCCATTAAGGATATCTAGCCCTTATTTGCTAACAATTTTTGCACTTATTGCTATTATAAGTCCCGCTTTGGCTAGCCATGGACCACAAATTGAAATGAATTGTCCCGTATACTCACCCGTTACCTTTAAAGAGAAAACAATCGACAATTGGAAAATGACAGAATTGCCCAAAGAGAACATATTTTCCGCAAACTTCGCGAGCTTACTCATATTAAATCAAATTTGGATATTTCTCGCCTTTCTATTTGCTAGTACTATACTATGTTTACTGACGTTTATTTTAAAGCAAACTTTGCGAAACAAACAAGATCTAGAGAAAGAAATTAATGTAGCAGAAATCGCACCTGGGTATGACAATACATGCGATGAATGGTTCAGAATAAAAACTAAAATAAATGGAAAAGAAATAATTTGCCTATTAGATTCAGGAGCACATGTATCCCTGACTGGTAAAGAAACCGCAGAAAAATTAGAAATAAATGAGATTTTTCCTGCTGAACTAAGCGCCATAATTGGTATAGGAAATAAAATTGTACCCACGCTTGGCCAAGGAGAAATAATTTTTCAAATAGCCGGGTGTGAAATTTTAACGCAGATTGTAATATTGGAAAATGAAATTAGTAAAACAGGAAAATATGATGTAATTATTGGAAGAGAAACCCTGAAAAGCCTTCCATTATTCCTGGATTTACAAACGGGTAAATTAATCGCGAAAACATTAATAAGAAATTATCATAATATCGAAAAGGCGAAAATAAAATTAATGGAAAATATTGAATTTAAAAACAATCACGAAATAAATAAAAATAATAATTCACTAAAAAATTGTGGCTTGAGAATAGACACAAACTTAACAAACCCAAGCGCAAAACATACTTATCAGAAAAACAGTCCCACAAATAAAAAAGTAAGAAAAAAGTGGGTTGAGGACAAACTTGTGATAAGACCCCCTAATTTTAACATGGGAGAATCGACAAAGACAGCAGGACCATCGGAGAAAGACTACATCCATCACCAAAAGATAAGCCTGCCAACGTCAAAACAACGGACAGGACGCACAAAAGCAAACAAGGAATGGAATCGGAAAGTAAATGGACAAATGCCAGAGGGTAAAAAGAAGATAAGAAATGGTGCTCAGCATTAATTTAAAAATGGACATTAAAAAATTAAAATTTTCCCTACCCCAATTTCCTTTTAAAATAATCACTTAAATTCCCTAAATAATTTCACCTTTAATTTTCTGAAACATTTCAGTCTGTAATCAAAGTTAAAAATTTTTCTATACCCCTTTAAACTCTTGTCGGAGAAAAGTGACAAAAAATTCCAATCCCATAATTGGAGAAATATAAAATTAAACAAAATAAAAAAAATAATACAAGAGGAGAATTTAAAAAAAAAAATTTTAAAAAAAAATCCCTCGATTTAAAAAAAGCTAAAATAGAACCTTAAATGGCTTCTAAAATAAAATTTTTTACATGAAGCGATTTGTAGCAAATAAATAAATTAAAATATAATCTCCTCCGTTTACTTTAATAAGCATGACGTGGACGTCATCTTAATTAAGGGGGAAGGAATGCTGCATTCGCATAAGCAAATAAATAAATTAAAAAAAAATATCTTTTTCCCAAAATATAAAAATAAATAAATAAATGATAAACTCTTGACCTTCCAATTTTATAAAAGGTTTACTGAGTTTTCCCGACTAAATATTTACCCAAAACCCCTTATCATATATTTTGTTATTCACTTTTATATAATTAATTTTTGACCTAGCTATTCTCAATAACAATTTATGTTTGTGTAAGAATCCCTATAAATACTCCCCCGCAATTTAACTCTTTAACTTATTTTGAATTCAATATAAAATAATTATAAACTTTTAACGCTCTGAATAAATATTTGTTTTCTGAACTGAACTATAGTTATTTCCAAGGCTGAACCGATTGATAGTGAACTGAACCTAGTTCATTAATGTTTAAAATTAATTTTTTACATAATTTCATTTTTAAAAATAAATAAAGCTTTATTTTTTTAATTTAAAAATTTTATATAAGATTAACTGAATATTAAAGGTTTTTTAAATTAAAATGCTATTTTATGGACAATTTAAAAATTTTTTAAATTTAATACTAATTTTTATAAAAATTTTAATACTTTATTTATCCATCCTTAACTAATCTATATTTTATAATTTAAAATTCTATAAAAAATAATTTAAAAAATAAACCTTATCTCCCTTTTTTAAAGCCAATTTTTCTTCTCCAATCCCCTGAAAATCATATAACGCTACAAAAACATTACTAGAAGAAGAAGAACTTCCATCAACAGATAAATTTTCTTCTGTTTGGGATGGGGAAGAATTTTGTTTATCTGATAAATTCTCTATTTTTTGTTGTTTTATTCGAGTAGAGGAGGGCATTTTTTAGTTAATTAATTATTTACATTTTTAATTTTAATTTAATTTTTTTTCAATTATTACAATTTATGTAATTTTCCAAAAATAAATAAAAATATTGAATAATTTTGTGTAATAAAAAGCACTTTTTATGTAAATAAAATCAATATTTCCTGAAAAGTAAAATTGAAGAATAATAAAACAAAATTAAATATAAAGTGGGTTGCGAATTTAAAAAATATTTTTATAAAAATATTTAATTATTAAATTAATTAATATTTACATTCAAAATATCCTCATATTTTATTAATTAAAAAAACAAAAATTGAAACATTAGTTTGTGGTAGGAAGATTAATCGGTTTTAATTTAGGAGGCTCTCATGGACTCAATTCCTCTTCCAATCTTAGAAATCTTTTCTGGGAATGTTTGGATTGTTTTTAATTATACGTTATTATTATACATATATTAGGTACCGTATAACCTGTATTAATTGCCCTTCCTCAAATAATTACCCCGCCTCTATTAATTATCCAATCCAGCGATAAATGAAATAATAATTACCCCCTTTCAAATGCCCTAAAACACTTTAAATTTGAAACCTTTTATAATTACCCTCCCTCGATTAATTACTCCCTCCAGCGGAAGGTCGAAAGAATAATTACTCAGGGTAGTTAATAAGTTTTACGGTATTTGTCAACACAAATTAAATTTTAATTCAAATAATAAAAAACCAAAAAATATTTTTATTTATTTTATCCAATCGAGAAAACCTTTTCTATTTCTTTCTATTCCCAATTAAAAATAAAAACCAGAAGGACATTTTTTGTTTTATTTTATTTTTCCTTACTTTTTTTATTACTCGACATTGGTGAAGGTCGAGTATTAAAAACATACATATGTGGAAAAATAAAAATAAATAAATTTTTTTAAAAGTATTAATCAATCAAAAATCAATTTAAAAGCTAAACTTAATTTAAGCTATATTGTGGAGTTAAAAAATAAAATGATGGATTTAGCTAAAATTATGAGCTATTGATAACTATTTATATATAATTATTAGTATTTTTGCAAAATTTTAAGGGATGTCTTTTATTATTTAATTAAAGAATTATTTAGAAAAAAATCTCCCTTTCATTAAATAATTTTTAATAAAATCTGGTAATTAAAGATTAAAAATAAATATTTTTATCAAAATACCGTAAATTCTGAAATAATTACCCTGGGTAATTATTGTTTCAACCTCTCGTTGGAGGGGGTAATTATTAAAGAGGATGTGTTGGATTTAGGATATATCTAAATCTAATTGAGGCGAAATTGATTTATTTTTTGATATTATTAAAATGTTCTGATAATTAAATTTAATCATAATTTTTTAAATATCTTTAAAGTTTGCGTAAAAAAGCTCGGGGGTAATTATTAGATAGGGTAATTATTTGAGAGAGCGTAATTATTTCAGCATTTACTAGCTTATCCTTTTCTTATTTAATTAAATTTAAAAATTAATATATTAAATGTTAAACTAAAAATATTATTCACGTTTTTTGCACTTTTTTACACTTTCCCAGCTTTTTTAAAAATAAAGAAAAAAGCAATGAAATGATTCTTTTGGGTTTTGTGTGTTGCTTTCTATGCTTTAAAAAACTTTATTTGTAAAGTCAGTCAAAATATGTAATCTTTTATTTTTAGAAATGGAAAATGGAAAAATTAAAAATTAATGTTTTTGCTGTAAAAGAACAATAAAGAATGAATATTTTGTGAGGAAAGGAGGGGAGGGGGGGGGTGAGGGGGAGGAGGGGGAGGAGGAGGGGGGGGGGGTAATCTTTGTTGGGAATTGGGAATGCTAGAAGTTGTTGAGAGGATTTTAATAAAATAAGAGAATTTAAGCTTAGTCCCCGAGGAATTTCTTTCAACGAGTTCTGGGAAGGAGAAAGAAAAAGGACGAAGATTGAGGGAAATTTGAGCTGCTTGGGCTAGAAAATTTAAAAATTTTTGTAATTTCGATCAGAATTTTTAAATTATTTCTCTATTATTTTAAACACAATATTGACTAAACAACTAAATAAATAAATATAAAATAAAAGAAATGATTGACAATTGGGGGGAGGCTACTAAAATATATAAGTTGGAGAAAAGTAGTCGAGGAAAACGAGGAAAATTTTTGTTTGAAGAAATGTTTGGGAAGTTGGGTGGTCATTAATTGGCCAGGTAAATAAAAGAAAAGAGGACAGGTGCTTAAACATTTCTTTAAAATTTATTTATTTGTGGTTTTAAATATTTAATTCTATACAGAAATTTAAAGACAATCTTCTCAGATTTCTTTAATCTAAAGATAAAAGCAGAAAAAAATATATGTACTAAAAATTAAATGGTTTTAAATTTTTGGAATAAAAATAATAAATTTATTTTGATTTGCCCATTTGAACAAAATAAATAATTTGGTACTTTTCCGTTATAAGACCACAAACTGAGTGACAGCCGACTTTGAACAGCTATAAATTTATGAAGCTTGATTCAATCAAATGAATTTAATATCATTCAAAAGCACTCGATAAGCTCTACATCTTTTTTCTAATAGGATAGATCAAATCTGATCACTCATTAAAAGAAAATCTAATAAATTATAACCGATAAGTTATTTGGTGTTTTTCACTGTTATCGGGTTGATTTATGTCTGAATCTGTTGGAAAAATATTTTTATCTGGGTGAAGAATATTTATATTAAAAATATAGTAGGGATTTAAAGGATCAATCGGTTAAAAATGGGTTGGGGTGATAAAATGTGATTTAACAGAAATAAGAAGAGAAGGATTTCAATAGAAACA